ACATAGTAAAATCCATATATCCATATTGTTATATCCATCCATATTGCAGTGACACCAAAGACATTATAAAGCACTTTCTATATAACTGGTTTTGTACAAGAAAGCCCTTCTGTTATACATATATAAGTGCATGTAAATATTTCCCCTCTGGTTGCCTTAATCTATTGTGTTTTAGAAGATTTACTTCATTTTGCAATCAGAAATCAGGATGTGTATACTTTTATTAATGGTGCTGGTCAGATTAATTGTTTATAGAGATTAGTATGGGATAAATCTGGATCTTTATTGCTATTTAAAGATGCATTTAAGCTGTCTTTGAAGCACAGCATTGTAACCATTGATAGTTATAGGTGAAGAGAACATTTCTTTGGGTTATAATGGAAATAAGTTCTTAATTGAAATAGCTTTTAATTTTAATGTCATTTGATTGGACACAATGTTGGATGAGCTTCAAAATTCACAGACGTTATAATTTTTTTAAAAGAATATAGGGTGCTGTAAGTATTGTATAAATTACTTTTTAAATAATCAAATTAATTTGGTTACTGGAAGAAAATTGTTAAGATCAAGAAAAAAATTATTATTATTTAATTTTTTTTTTGAGAATTCATAAATGCCTTTTTTTCCTTTACCTGTTACATTATTTGAATATTGTGCTACTGGCAAAATATTTTAGCTTTCAGTGGTATATGTCAATTTCAAAATGTAATATTTATAATTTTAAAAAGCATTTGTTTTCATCAGTGGTTTAAAATTGCACTATACTATGTTTCTTTGTGGTGACGTATTTAGTAGAAACAGTGTTGGTCACATAAGTGCCTGTTTAAAATGTATCAGATTATTTGTCAGTTTTTCCACAAACCATTTCAAATTCCATAAATAAACCAGATAGAAACGAGAACACGTTTAGTGTCCGATTTATTATTTGCTCGTCTCCGAATTGGAATTTATGTTCTGCCTCTGTCTGTTGAATTCATAGTCTAAATTCTCTGCTGCTTACAGCCTTTCGCTTTTCATCTATTAAGCAATTCTATTAATAAACTCTACACACATGATGCAAACAGAAGTGTAATGTGATCTTACAGAGCAAAACTCAAAGGACATCATGTGACCACACGTTTCCAATCAATAAGTTAGTGGCAATCCTGAATAATGCTTTTCACAATTTCCTTTCACTGCTTAGGCTTCCTTTCCCAATTCTTTCATGTTTTCTGAGTTTGTCTGTGTATGTGTCCTTTATGAATGTTCATTATTCGTATATACTCCTAATTGTTTACTGAGTGTGTTTTTAGGCAGAAGTAGACAGTAAAAATGTTAGTTTGTGTGCTTGTGTGTAACGTGTGTGTATAACGTTTCTAGCTGTGGACAGTGGGATGGTGTTGAGTTGCCACTTTGTGAGGCCTTTCATCGGCGGGACAGTTGGGGGTCCCCCGAGACGACCTCTGACCTTTCACATGCCAACCCAGAGGATTCAGACCATTTGGGGACCCAGGAGTCCATGCACGGCAGCAGCACTAGCGAGCAGTCGTGAAATACTGGCGGCTTCCTTCATGGACCAGTTTGATTACAAAGCCAAGAAACTTGCCATTTAAATAAGCCCCATATAAAACCTCCAGATGTAGACTGCGAATTTAGAGAACTACTTGAATTGATGATATTTTTTTCCTGAAAAAAAGGCACTGAATTAATACTGAGAACATTTCTTATAAATAGAATTTCAGTTTTGTAGCTGGGTAACTTAGTTCTGGTTAACAGTGGTAAAATAGTGTTTTTCTTTTTGTCTGTTTTTTGGTTACATTTAATGCCTCTAGTTTGAGTTATAATGCAACTATTCTATACATTATTTTCATCATTGTTCTGCAAAAAAAAAAGTAGAATAAAAAAATGCTGTAATTAAACTTGTTTAAGGAAATGGTGTTTTGTATGCTGATAGAAAATAAGACGAATTTGTAAACATGCTGCAAACATTTAAAGTAAATCTTGCTGCTCTATTTAAGTAACAAAATACACTGTCACTATATGTTACATATAAGTACATGTGCACTGTAATGCTCTTCATGACTGCCAAGGAGTTTTCTGTTATTATTTTAATCACACACGGGTGACCTTTTTCATTTCAGGTTGTTACAAGACAACCAGGCAAAAACTGTAATAGAGATGACATTTTTACTTTTATTTCATTAGGAAATTCTGAAGAATAAAAAAGAACCTTTTAATAATAAATAATGAGACTTAATAAATATAGTGATAAAGCAATTTTGTTCCACATCAGTCTGAAACACATAACATTAACAAGTTGCACAGTACATAGCTATTAAACCAAAATGTTCTACTTTTAAAAAGTTTGCAGAAACTATCAATGTTTTGGGGAAAGTTTTATTGTAAAATGTTTATGAATGTAAGCTATGGAGACATTTTTACTGGTAAAAAATATTTACATCACTCAATTTACAGGGAAAAAAAGTGTACGTCTAGTTGACTATAACAAAGGTGGAGGATTAGTATCGTCGGTTCATCTTCTTGAATTTCTCATAGTGGTAGTCATCTGTGGCCTTCTCGTTATTTGGTCTCTTGCGGAAGTTGGGTGGTGAGGCTGAATAACAGAAAAGAAATAAGATCAACATAAATTCATTAAATTCAATCTGTCAATTAAGCAAAACACTTACGCTCAGGTGCTGGATTCTCAGTGTCTCCTACTCGTAGTGGCCTGGCTTTGGGCTCTTCTCTGTGGACTCTTCTCTGGGGAGCGTTCACATCCTCGTGATAGACTTAAGAGAAGAACAGAAAATGACTTAACATTTCTACATGTTTAAAACATTAGGCATGGATGAAGCTGTAATTCATAAAACTGTGAACTGAATCTTGATGTGATGTTTGAAACAATACTTCTGAATATAAAATACACAGGTTTACTGATACAGTAAATTGGTTTATGTAAAGAAATAATTGTATAATAAAAGGACAAATACATTTGTCACAAAAAATGTTTAGTCAGTTTTATTCATATAGGAATCCTGGAAAAAATAATTAAGTAGCTCAACTGCTGTCAACATTGCTAATAGGAAAAGTTTCTAGAGCAGCAAATCAACAGAATGAATTACATTTTAAATTTTTAAAATAGAAAAGAGTTATTTAAAATTGTAATACTGTTTTACAGTATTTGGTGAACATAAGAGACTTCAAAAACATCAAAATCTTACTGAACCCAAAGCTTCAAAGGAACAGTAGAATATGTGTACACTTACAGCGATTATGCTGGACGTAATTCACGGCAATGTTAGTGGGAACAAAGGAGGTCCCGTTGTCTTTCTTCTTATTCCTCTGCTCAGCAAGCAGCTTTGCTTTGGCATCTTCTGTGCTGATGATGTTCTTTATCTTCGCACTTAAAAAGAGGGTTTTGGAATTGGCATCCATAGCTAGGTAAGTCTAATTATAAAAATATCTGACGCGATCAATGGAAAATGTCTGAATTAGTTTTGGTCTTACTCTATCCCCAGATCCACCTCTGGAATTCCACTCAGCATCTGATTGGACAACATCTCTTCAGTCTTTTTGGCAGAATTGACACGGATGCTCTCTGGAAGCTCGTACAGGAGGTCCTCTGGATTCTTCACCTTCACCTTCTGCACCTCTGCCTCCACCATGCCTTTCTTTTTCTTTAACTCTGTCTCAATATACTTCATCCTGAATGAAATCACATACAAGTAGAGAGAAGATAAAAAACATAAACTGAGGCAAAAACACCAATGAAGAAAGACAATTATGCAGAAACATCAACTTACATGTCTGCATCTTCATCTCGTCTGTTAGTCTCTGCAGAAAAGGATGTACCAAGATTCAGGTCGTTTTCATCAGCTGTCCTATAGTGGAGGAAAAGTTAATTATTTAAGTTGTAAAAATACAAAAACATCAACTTTAAATGAAAAGCAAACATGATATCATAACACTTACATGTCTCGGTTTCTGTCTTTCACTTTCTTCATGTCAACAACACCTCCAGTCTTCAGTTTAAATGGGTCATCCTAACGCACAAAACATTATTTTACCCCTCTATTAGTTAACAAGTTATTGGTTTATTAGTTATCAGATACACAAACTATAACATTGTTATTTACAATACCTTAATTGTACTACAAAATGTAGTTTTATTAAAATCAGAAAAAATAAAAACATACCTCAAGCTCAGCTTCTAAGGGAAGCTTCTCTCCTACAAGTAACGTTGCAATGCTGGAGGAATGGAATGATAAAATAGCATGTATTATCCCGAAAATAACTGAGCGTAATTGAAAATTATTTTGTACACAAAAATTTGAAATTAAACACTGTACAAAGATAAGATTGTGCAAACATAATAGATAGAATAGAATAGACATCTGACCGACCTCACTCCATGCTGCCTTTTTCGTAGACTTTGAAGCTCCTTGGCTTCATCCAGTTTGGACCTTGGAAAACAAATTACATATTTAAAAATATTTACATTAACGTTATATATTGTTTATAAAAACACATCTGTATGTAACATCTGAATAATTCTGACACATGTTGCTTTTCTGTTGTTCGGTTAATCTATTATGGCTAAATTTGGCATGATTAACATAACGTGATCTAACTAAGTTAACGTTACCTGACCACGGCTTTTGTCTCATCGTCTTCCTCGTCGGATGAATCCTCTTTCTTCCTCCTAAAATTCTTACTCGGTGGCATGATTTCAAAGCACTATTTAAATCTGTATATTTAATGTTTATTTTACCCCTTCCACACGTCAGAACGCAATGTCGGCGGTCTGTGTTTAGTGACGGACCCACATTTCCCGAAACTTCCGCTGACATCACAAATACTGTATTAACAGCTGATCTAAGATCAGCTCATCCGTTTGCCATACAACCGTTTAACGGAGTAAAGCGACTATAGAGGATAAAGAGACTGGTTTAAGATCAGCTACTTTTATGGAGAAAAAAAAACCGAAGTAAAAATAATAACAAAAACAATTAAAATCATGAACAGCTCAAACAATTAGTATAACGTTATACCTTACGTTTTAATAGTGTAAGTAAATAAAAAATAGTCTTTGATCAGACGAAAGAGCTAAAAGCATTCATTGGCTCTGGTCAGAGCTGTGACGCACACTATTGCTATATTCAGTATGAATGCTGTTTAGTGCACTGTTACCCACCTATAAACACCACAGATTGGCCTAAAATGATCATCTATGAGTGTTATTTTTGTTTATGTCTGACAGGTAAATAACTGTTTTATCTTTCCTTTGGTTAAAGCGAAGTGTCTGTTTATTTTTGTCTTGCAGCCCGAGTGGAAATAATATGGCCTGTTTATTCTGCAAGATCGTGTGATGTTTAACAGCTTTTGAGTGGTTGACGATGATATTTTGAGGGAATGTATTTGTGTTGCCGAAGCCGCAGAAAGTATTTTTGAGATTATTTTTTCTAATAAGATGAATAACGTTAGAGTGTGGTTCATATAATTATTGTTTTTCATTTTCTCTTCGGATAAGTTAAAGCTGCTATTCGTGTAAAAAGCAGCTTTACAAATTTTTTGAATAATGTATTATTGAGCATTTTTCCACTGTAACAATGGAGTGATATGCGATGAATTCATCATTCAGTCGTGCTAGGCGCATGAAACAGCAGTTTTGGTCTCCTCAGTCCTGAGAGTTTCAGGCACCGACTCACATTATCATCTCATATTAAGCAGATGTGCTAGAAATAAGTACATTTTCTCTTTCACATTGATATTGAGTGTGTACGTTTATTTTAGAAGGTTATACTTAAATTGACAGTTCAACATTATTAGTTCAGTCATAATTTTCTTGCCCTCATATTTTTCCAAACCTGTTTATTTTTCTTTGTTCTGTTGAAAACAAATTGAGATGTTTGGCAGAATCTTTGTGTGTCCATAGAGTGAATGTGAATGGTGACTGACTTAATATTTCTTTTTGTTTACCACAGAAGTTAGAAAGTCAAAAATAATTTTTAGGCTAAATAGATGATTTCATTCATTTTTGGGGTGTACTTTACGCCACAGCCCTAGTATTGATGGAGTGCAGAGTTGTATTAGTAGTTGTCAATTCTTTGTGCTTTCTAATAGAATGATGCCAAAATCAAGATGACTGACAGCGGGGATCTTTGTCCTCACTTGGACTTTATTGGTGAAGTAACTAAGGAGGAACTTATTCAGAAAGCAAAGGTTAGTATTGCTTTTGCTGATATTTAAGTCTTAAATGTATTATGAGTGCTGTGTATTGAATTCTGTAATGTAATTTTTACTCAAGGGCACGTGTCAGTCATGTGGGGTAGGTGGACCAAACCTCTGGGCATGTCTACAGGTAAGGAGCCTTTCCTCTTGCAAACATACAAGCACAATGTACTTTAAGCATGTAGAAAGATTTATGAATGCTATCTTTAAGATTAGGCAGAGAACATTACTTTAAAATCAGCATGAAATCAAAAATCACAGTTCATATTTTTAATGGTATATTTCAGTATCTTATTTATCCGTGCACATCATTATTTTTTTAATTCATGTGCCCTCATCATCTTTAATCAAAATAACTTCCCTTTCTCTTGCAACCACATTTCTTCTCTTCTCTTATTATGGCTTTAAATATTATGAACAAGACAGAGCAAGCGCATAAACACACCGCACAAGTGAATTACAGCATTGTGAACACAGTGAAAAAACTTGCAAGTAAAATGAAAACTTGCAGAAATCACAAATCCCAAACTCCAGCACAAAAAAATATGATTGTGCACACAAATCAGTTTCCCAAACCTTTGTGCTATTGGCGGCTGGCTTTCTTTGAAACTCTTATTTCAGAGAAAGCCAGAGAATGTCCGAAGTAGAGTAATGTCCGAAGAAGCAGAGAATGTCCGAGTGTATTGGGTTAGCTGTGCACTGTGATTGGCTCATCGCGTTTGAGGGCGTGGCTTAGCCATAGGTCAATTACCGATTACAAAATTGTTGATCTAGTCCTATCCAGCATTTTCTTTCTTTTTTGAGAGGCAGTCAGATATACGTCACAATAAGAAACAAAAGACTATTACAACTTCTGTTTCATGTCGACTTCAAAATAAATCATATATTACTTGAAAATCATTACTTTGTCCTGTTTTGCCCACAGTGTGACTGTCCCTATGTTGGCTGCGGAGAATCATATTCTGATCACAGCACTATACATGCACAGGTGACTTTCTTACAGTTTGCTTAATGATTTAAAATATTTTGTGCACACTTTCTTTTTATGTAAGCATTCATTCTATTTCTAGCTATCATCCATATAATGATTTTTCTGTTCTTTTGTACATACGTGCATCTTCTTTTTACCTTTTTTCCAGGCCAAAAAACACAATCTGACAGTAAACCTGACCACATTCAGGGTGTGGTGTTACGTCTGTGAGAGGGAGGTGTTTCTGGAACCAAAACCTGTTACTCCTATATCATTAGCTCACTGCTGCAAACCACATGAACAGGTGAAATTGACACTTTCTGCTGTTTAAGATTGTCTAAACATGATTAAGATGGTACTTCCTGTTCCTGCATTATTAATATCAGTCTGAAGATCTCATTTAGAATTTATAAAGCACATGGACAATACAAAATACACAGTTCACTCATTTTTAAGGATCATCTTCCCTAGACATATCACCCACTGAAGGCGGTTCCTATCGCAGTGGCGGATGAGGAAGGCTCAGAATCTGAGGAGGATGAGCTTAAACCTAGAGGTATAATCATGTAGACAGAAAGCTAGTACATATTGCATGGCATTTCAAATGCTATAATAATTGATAAATGGCAAAAACACCCACCCTGGCATTGATGGGGACACATGCACTACCATTCAAAAATTTGAGATCAGTATGATTTTTAAATGTTTTTGAAAGTATATTATGTGATTAAATACACAGTAAGAATTACAGGTCAAAATTCAGCAGCCATTTATTCAGTCTTCAGAAATAATTCTATATGTTGATTAGCTGCTCAATTTGTTGAAAACTTTATTTTTGTGGAAACCATGATACCTTTTGTCAGGATTATTTGATAAATAGAAAGATAAAAAGATCAGCATTTATTTTAAATATAATAATAATAATAAAGCTTTTTACTGTCATTTGATTAATTTAAAGCATTCTTGTTAAATAAAAGTATTCTTATTATTTATATAATAAAAAAAACCTTTTACATAAACTTTTACATTTGTATTTACTGTAACAGATGTGACAGATCTTCCCCTGTTTATACAACAGCTTAAATAAGTGGATTCAATAATAAACGAATAACCAGTCAATTTCCTTTTCTGTTTTTTTTTTCTTTTATATGGAAATACTGCTTAATGGAAGGACATAGCCTGAATTAAATTGAATCTCATTGTCATTGATTATGTGTAACGATTAAGATTCTATTCCACTCTGCAAAATTTGAGGGTCATCTGTCATTTCCAAAAGCAATATTTAGCAAACTTATAGGCTGGTGTTTGCATTACTCGTTATGCGTAATAGTCTTTATTCTATCTCAGGTCTCACAGGGATGAAGAACATTGGGAACTCCTGTTACATGAACGCTGCGCTGCAGGCCCTGTCCAACTGGTGAGCTCACAACTTGTGCAGCATGCATAGGCATTATCCAGACAGCACAGATTGGAAGCGTGACTGATTCCACTGATTTGCTTTTCAGTTCTGTTCATCATGCCCCTTAAACTGAGAATGGTTTTCCTGTTTCTTTTTCTCTTCAGTCCTCCTTTGACTCAGTTTTTCCTGGATTGCAGTGGGTTGGTGCGTACGGATAAGAAGCCGGCGTTGTGTAAAAGCTTTCAGAAGCTTATCTCTGAGCTCTGGCACAAGAAACGGTAACAAGTACTTACTTTGCAAAACCGTTAAACTAGATCTGGCCAGTTCTAGCAAACCTAATTTTAATCTATTGAGCTTGGTCCTAATTATCTGAACCTTACCGTTCTCTGTTGGTATTCTTTTTCCCTCTTCTTTACTTTCTTTTGCTTTCTGTCCAGGCCAAGCTATGTTGTTCCCACTAGTCTGTTTCATGGAATCAAACTGGTGAACCCCATGTTTCGCGGCTACGCTCAACAGGTATATAAAGCAGTGTTATTTTAGTATTTTTTTCTAACATTATATAGTAATAATTTGTTTATTGAATTGGCTTTTTTATTTTCAGTTTTCATTGCAATTTTTGTGTTGCAATTTTTTATGTGCTTTAGTCATTTATATTAAGTTTATATATATATATATATTTCTATTTAGCTTAATTTTATTTTTATTTCAGTATTAGTTTCAGTAATTTTAGTACTTTAACTTATTTTATTTAAATATGTATAAGTTTACGTTTTTCCATCTAATATTTTTATTTTATTTTGTTTTAGCTTTAATTCAACTAACGATAGATTAGTTTTAATTAACAGTTACAAGATTACTATGCAACCTTTCAAGACTGTAGTTGTGTTTCATATAAGCACCATAGTCTTTTTGTACAGTACACGCTTCTTGCTTTTGTGTTTTTAGGACACTCAGGAGTTTTTGCGATGTCTGATGGACCAGCTTCATGAGGAGCTGAAGGAACCTTTGACCGACTGCAGCATTGCGATCTCAGAGGTCGACCCTGACCACAACCTTGACAAACTTAACCATGTCGATGGAGACCGAAGCCCCTCTGAGGACGAGTTCCTGTCGTGTGACTCTGGATCAGGAAGCGAGAAAGGAGATGTAGAGAGGGCAGGAGGAGAAGCAGAGCTGGTCATCCAAGATGAGTGTGTTGGAGGGAGAGGGAGAGGAAACGGAGGGATCTCGGAGAAGGAGAGGCTGAAGGAGAGAAGAGGAGAAGAGAGGACACGGGAAATGGATGAGGATGCAGATGTGGATACGGCCGCACAAGAGGGGCAGGCAGAGAGAGAAACAGAGGCAACCACTACCACTACAACCGCAACTGTGCCAACATTAGGAAATACAGGTATATGTTCTTATAATCTTAAGCTACGTGCTCTCAAACTTTTGAACAAACTTTGATTTATATAATGCGGTTGTGAACATAACCGTATTAAGTAGAGCCAGACCGATATATCGGCAGATCGATATTATCGGCCGATATTAGGCATTTTCCGAACTATCGGTATCAGCAGTTATGATGGCCCATAAATGAATATTTCAAAAATAAAATAAAAACAGACGAAACACGCTTGAACCATATCATGAGTGGTGGAGTTGTATAGTTTGTCCACCAGAGGGCACTCTATACCGTTCCTGTTGGCAAACTCGTTGAGTTGGTCACGATACTTGAATAACAATTAAAAGATCATCCCCATTAGTTCTCTTAACTCAAATAAGCATGAAAAAATTTGTGACTAATCATCTCCAGTTTAAATAAATAAATGAATAAAATATCGGCCGATATATCGGAATATCGTATTTTAAAACCCAAAAATATTTGTATCGGTATCGGCCTTCAAAATCCTTTATCGGTCGGGCTCTAGTATTAAGAACTCAAATACAGGACTGACAAGCGTATTCTGCTACTGTGAACGTGACCTTACACTTACAAAAGATTGGGGACAAGTAATGTTTTTGTGTTTTTGAAAGAGTTCACTTCAGTTCAAAAATACAACAAAAAAACGGTAATACTATTTATTCCTGTGATGACAAAGCTAAATTTTCATCACTCCAGTCTTCTCTTCAGTGTCACATGATCCTTCAGAAATGAGTCTGAAATGCCAAATTTGATGCTCAACAAACTTGTATTATTATTATATATATAAACAGTGCTGGTTAATATTTTTGTGGAAAGAAACCATGATAATATTTTTGGTATTCTTTTGTAATAATAACTATTTTTACAAAGCCTTTGGATGTGAAAACATAAATCCTGATCCCTCTTTTTCTTGCAGAACCTGATAATGAAGCTTCCATGCACTGTCCGTCCTCTCATCCTTCTAGCCCCGCTCACAGTTTGCAGGAGCTTCACTCCAGACTCTCCAGCAGCCCACCAAGATCCAGCCCCCTCAGAACTGGACCCACTTATACTTTCAAGAAAGGTTTGCTTCTCTCATATAGACAAATAAAGTTGGATTTTGCTTTACACTAAATAACCATCATGTTTGTTTGTCTTGTAGCTCAGATGCTCCCGAGTACCAAGAAGAAGAAGCAGTCCCGTTTCCGCAGTGTTATTTCAGATACCTTTGACGGATCCATTCTGAGTCTGGTTCAGTGTTTGACTTGTGATCGGGTGAGGAAGGATGCAAGGTGTTTTTCTGTCTCCAGAGGGGTCAAGCATCACATCACATTCATTATTACACTTAAACACATACGTTGGGATCATTTTGCTGACTTGGATCTTTGAATCTCTATCATCAAAATTATTATTTTTTTAATTAATTTTGCTCATTTCAGCAGAATATAATTAAAATGTTGGATGTTAATGGACACAACACATCTACTATAAAAAACTATAATGCAACCAAATTATGAGAAGCAGAAGATGATTATTTTATTGCTTTGCTGGGTTTTCAGGCAAAGCATTCAGTTAGTGTACCTCACCGATCTAAGTTGTTTATTCATTTGTCACATCACAATCCCCATAAGCTGAGCTGTGCAGTCTACCGGAAACAGAATTGATTCATCTCGTGACAGCCCAGAAGCTGTGGTAATGATTAGTCTACCTCTCAAATCTTCAGGTTTGAGTCGTTTGCTCTTTTGTCACTTAACTGTATGTTGTTATTATATGTAGGTATCTTTGCTTTATCAAAGTAATTTTATCCATCATATGAATAACATTTAAAGCATTAACCAACTCTTTACCACATTCAATGTTATGGAAAAGAAACACAATTTATAGAACATTTTGCAAGATGTAAACAACACTGGTCCAGAAACACTTCCTGTTTAAGTTTGTAACTGTTTTCTTTATTTCACATGTAAAGAAAAAATCTTAAAGATGTTTAACTTTTTGATTCAGTTTTATATGTTCTGTTGGTTGTATTTTATCCCAGCTTTTATGTAGTGTTAAAAAACTGAAACAGGAAGTGCTTCTGGACCAGTTTTGTTTACATCTTGCAAAATGGTCTATACATTTCTGTTATGATAAGAAATAAGAAAGCTACAATTTAAAACCAGAAACACATCACTAACTGTAAGAGTAAAAAAAAAAAACTGACTACGCTCTTCTTTGTAAGGAAGTTTGGTAATTATTAAACGGATACTCCACTTTTTTTGGAAATAGGCTCATTTTACAACTCCCTCAGAGTTAAACAGTTGAGTTACCGTTTTCAAATCCATTCAGGCGATTTTCTGATATTTAGAAGAATATCAGTAACCAGACAGTTTCTGGTCTCATTGACTTCCATAGTAGGAACAAAAAAATACTATGGAAGTCAATGAGACCAGAAACTGTCTGGGTACTGATATTCTTCTAAATATAAAAAACAAATTGGCTGAACACATTTGAAAATGGTAAAACTCAACTGTTTAACTCTAGGGGAGTAGTAAAATGAGCCTATTTCCAAAAAAATTGCAGTATCCCTTTAACTAATTTCTTAATCAAATATGGCTGTCACGTCATGTGACAAAATAATAAATGACTCAGGAGGTGAGCTAATCATTTTTGTTTCCTGTACAGAACCAATAGGATGTTGCGCTTGTGCGGTCAATGCAAAATTAACAAATCACTCTCTGAGGCAACTTGTTCCCGATTCGATTTAAAGAGTTGTTCAAAACGAACAAATCGTTTATGATAAAACCTACAGTGTACTTCAGGGAAGTCAGTGATGCTAACACAGTCTCATCCCAAAAAGTCATATAACTGACGTCTTGGGACGTTTTTTGACCGTACGTCAATATCCGCCTTTTTAGGGCCCCCTTAAACGTCGGTAGATGGCGATCCCGGGCCGTCATACAACTGACGCTTTACCTTTAACGTCAGTTAGGTGACGGGTTAGGTTTAGGGTTAAGTTTAGGTCTGGGGTAGAGTTAGGATCCCATAACCTCATCTACCGACGTTTAAGGGGGCCCTAAAAAGGCGAATATTGACGTATGGTCAAAAGACGTCCCAAAACGTCAGTTATATGACGTCTTGGGATGAGACCGGGTTGGTGATGCACCATGTGGTTTCTGAGGTCCTCCACTTTTACTTCAGGTCATTCTAGAAGAATTCAGCAATTCATAGCTGCACAAAACAGACTGTGTTCATATCACATAAAACAAATGTTATGTAACTGTTGAAGGATATATTTCAATGGTACAGTATGTGTAAGACAGCAGAAATAGCAGTGTTTTAAAGAAAATATCTGCCTTTTGTAGGTTTCGACAACTGTGGAGACCTTTCAGGACCTGTCTTTGCCTATTCCGGGTAAAGAAGATTTAGCCAAACTCCATTCCTCTATCCACCAGAGCGCTCCAGTTAAAGCTGGTGTCTGTACTGATGCCTATGCGGCACAGGGCTGGATCTCCTACATCATGGATTCTATACGAAGGTATAGTGAGAGTGTGGTTGAGGCTGAGAATGAACTAATGGCAAAATGTATTGCACTACAGTCAAAATGTTTGAAGTCTCTAAGACTGAAAGAAGTGTCTTATGCTTACTGACTTAGGCTGCATTTATTAGAACAAATGAAGAGCTCTTTTCAAAAACGCTATAAATCCATTTCAATAGTTTTCAGGAAAACTACATTTTTTACCTAGACCCACACATTTTGTGAATATTCAAATTATCCTGTTTAAATGTTTTATTGGTTCAGTCTGAACATTTTGAACAATAATTATTAAATCAAACAACAATATTGTTAATGTTAATTAAATTTTTTTCCAAAACGCTATAAATCCATCCATTTTTTGTATCATTTTTAGTAAAGTCATTTTTAGTAAAGAGTCAAACCTCAAACAAATAGTACCAATTTCAACATATGCATGAAAAAAAAACGAATTATTAAAAATGATCAATATATGATAACGATATTCAAAAAAGGGATGGGCACCCCTCCAGCACATGCACACACACACAGGCTACATAACATGTGAGCAAAGCGGAGCAGCATGACGCTTAAATATAAGTAAAAAAAAAACAAAAAACAAAATAAACATAAAATATACGTTTCACATTTGTTTTTAATAATATTACATTACTTATTTTTATTATTTCATCTATGTTGAGTAGGCTATGAAAAGGGAACCGCATGAGATGAGTAAGATAGGATCAAAATTCAAAAGCTGCCCAATATCGGAAAATATTTGGAGTGCGTCAGACATGATTTTGACCACTTATTAAGTTTTGTTTTGTAGAAAGCTTGTAAATTTCGTTTCATATAAATTGTATCTTCATTTTAATAAATGTTTCATCGACAAATTGACTGGATTAATACATTAGAAGTAAATATCAGACAATATAATCAGGACACAAAGGCGCGCAGGTGAATCGGAGCGCGTCTCATAATATGAACCGAAACACCGCGATGCTTGCCTCACACAGGCCTGAGAACTAAGCTACAGAAAGCTTTAAATATCTACTTTTAAACAAAACAATTAAAAACTAAAATAAATTGGCAACTCTCTGCGTATGTAGGCTAATTCGAAGTATGCGTTTCTATAGGCCTATGCGCGTTCACTGTGACGATGGCGAGTAAGCATCATCAACTTTATCTTTGTTGCTGACACTGACGGAAAACACTAGTTTATTAATAAACAATTCAAATGTTTCATGCATAATCATTACTTTTTGCCGGTTCTTTGTGGCAAGCTTTATGCATACGTTGAAATGCGGAATAGGCAATTAAAAACGCTCATATGGTTTCTCTCCCATTTAATTAAATCAATATATGTGAAGATTACTGATAATACAAATGGCTTAAATGATCTACTACCAGTCGACTAGAAAACTAGGACTCATTTTGAGGAATAAATGAACATAATAAACCTCTGTTCAGAGTGCCGCCGTGCTGGATTGTGTAGAGCACTCATTGAATTTGAGGATTTATCGTGTTTAGGCTAAAAACAGGGCTGGCGCTTATCGCGGCTTGGAAAGAAACTGTATCTTGCAGTACATTTTAAACAAGGAAATATAGCGATTTGGCATGAAACGTTGATGAAATGCATGAAACGTCCACAGAAGAATGACACGACAAACTCATTTTTTTTTTAAAAATGGCGTTTATCGCGTTTTGGAAAAGAGCTCTTCAAATATACAGTAAAAAGTCAATGTGACCTGAGAATTTGAATAACCGAATATGACAATCGAGTGCAAGTTGGGTGTGGATATCTAAATCAGAGAAAACCATAAGTTCAGGCGGGTGGCGGATTCAGGCGACGTTATTTGTGTTTTTATGCAGGTTTGTAGTGTCTTGTATTCCCAGTTGGTTTTGGGGTCCCATGGTAACTCTAGAGGACTGCCTGGCAGCCTTCTTTGCTGCTGATGAACTGAAAGGTAAGCACACCATGAATGACATTTATGAGTGTGGAATTATGAATGTGACAGCAAAGGGTAAAAAAAAAATCACTTTCCACACTGTTGTGCTGTTTGGAAATGCTTGGTTGATATTTTTTTCTTTCTTTCTGCCAAACAGGAGACAACATGTATAGCTGTGAACGATGTAAAAAGTAAGATTTCTTAAATAAAAAAAGCCTAAAATGTAATCGATTCTAAATACTAATTATGGTTTTAGAGCCAAAACCATACTGTAGCTGTTACATGTTTAGAAACATGCTAATTTACTCTACCTGCTTCCCAGATTGAGAAATGGTGTGAAATATTGTAAAGTTCTGCATCTACCAGAAGTAAGTACCCCCTCCATTTCGATCTGCTCTTTTCAGTACAACTTGTATTCCTAGTTTGTTTGTTTATGTGTGATCTCCTTTGCAGATCTTGTGCATTCATCTGAAGCGTTTCAGGCATGAAGTTATGTACTCGTTCAAGATAAATAGCCACGTGTCATTTCCATTGGAGGGTTTGGATCTCAAGCCCTTCTTGGCTAAGGAGAGCCCGTCACAGGTTACTACTTACGACCTGCTGTCTGTCATCTGTCATCACGGAACTGCTGGAAGTAAGTTACTTCTGTGTAGTATTGCGAAATATAGCTGGACTTTTGGTTTTGATGGGGTTGAGGTTTTGATTATTGCTGGCGCTTTTCCCAGATGAGAAAAAATATATTATTTGTCTGATTTATTTGAGTGAAATATTTTTTCCCCCTTTTGAACAGGTGGTCACTACATAGCTTACTGTCAGAATGTGATCAATGGACAGTGGTACGAGTTTGATGATCAGTATGTAACAGAAGTGCACGAGACAGTAGTGCAGAATGCTGAAGCGTATGTCCTTTTCTACAGGTACTTTTTGTGCTAGTTTACTGATTTTGTAATGTTTGTTTAAAGAGCACACAGTAATGTTTTTCTTAAAGATGGCTTGAAATGAAAATTCACCACTTTTTTATGCACCCATCATTTATGATCCATCCTTGCATATATTTAATTAAAAATGATGTTGTGTTTACACGACAACAGAGTTTTGGGTGCCTGGAAAGGGGTTTCAAACTGCAAGTTTTTAACAACGGTTTCCGTGTAAACAACAAAGAGTGGATCCTAAATGGGACACTCCGGCCTTGTGGACCTCCTTCAAAGTTCACACTAGGTTATGTCAGGAAGTGCAGACCTTAGGGGCGCTGGCTTTGACTTCACTAGGGCATGCACGAGTGTATTTTGTGACAGGCTTGATGACATTATGCCAACGAAAGTCAAACAGCCACAAAACTCCTCCCCTCATATTTCTGAATGGGCGTTCAAAATGAATGATTCCTGGGTAGGTAACTCGCATGGAGGGTGCAAAAGTGCAGGCTTCGCTGAAGTCCACATCGAGAGCACACTTCTGAGTGCTAAAATACCGAATGGGACACCCTAAGGACTGGTACAATTGGCAAGCATGCGCAATTTCAGGCTGCGAGACGTAGTCCACATATAGTGTGCCATTTGGGATTCAGCCTAAAAAAAAACGTCATCATGCACATGCCTATTACGTGTTTAGTCTTAAGTGTTTCATCGCCATCTAATGGCCTGGCAGCAGATTACAGGGTTTTTAGTCGTTTTCGTGGATCCATGTGAATGGGGAAAAATGTCCTCATTTTAAGCGTATCGTTATCGTGTAAATGTACACTTACAATCAACTCCAGACTCCATCTTTTACCTGTTTAAGGAATGAAGATATATTGAAGGAATAGCCCACACCTGTCAATTAAACAGCTTTTGAGTCTATTGTCTAATTATTTGTTGTCCCTTGAAAAGGAAGAATGCGAATACCCTCAAATTAAAGCTGAGAGTGTACACATTAGGCCCATTCATTATATAACTTGAATATGTTTGGCAAATGGCTAAAATAACAAAAAATGTGCCTGTGTCCAAATATATGGGCCTGACTGTATGCCAGACTTATCATTTAGTCCACATAAACCCACCCCTTTTCTTACAATCACAGGCTTACATTTAGATCTGCCTCCATCCAATCAACAACGGATGGATAGAACCAAGTCCCTGGCCTACATTTTGAGAATCTGTTTCACTTGTATGTATGTCACGATACGTAAGAAAAGATCTGTCAGTACTTATGTTGCTCTGCAACTGTTTTACATTTAACTAAATGAATAGTACTTTAAAAAAAATGGCTAACATAATTTATGCTAAGTTCATTAGGTTCCATGCCAGTAGATGTCAGAATAAAATCCAATACTATTGGCACATATAGTGCTGAGTGCACCTTTAAATGGTTGTAATTTCATGTTAATTTTCTTTTAGGAAGAGCAGTGAAGAATCTGTGAGAGAGAGACAGAAGATTGTCGCACTGGCTAATTTAAAGGAGCCCAGTCTACTTCAGTTCTACATTTCCAGAGAATGGCTTAACAAGTTCAACACATTCACTGAGCCTGGGCCCATAGCCAACCACACTTTCCTCTGTCAGCATGGAGGTATAATGACCACTTGACCACTTTACGTTGAAATGACATACTTTAGTTTACAAAGATGTGAAACTCACCGAGTGGTCTGGGGTGTTCACTGATATGCTCACACAAAAATCGCTGCAAAAGATGCTTTCAAACAGGTTTTATAATGTTTTTGTCCTACTTCATTGATTTGACTTGGACAAAAACCGACGTTCTTGTCAGGGCAGTAAAAGACAGAGAAGTGACGTTGTATGGGGATGGGTGAAACCCACCCAAATCAGTGTCAGTTAAACATTATAAACATATGTGTCTTGCCACTATTGGGCAAACAGGTCTGATCCTTCACTACAATTAGCCTGAAAAATGTGGGTAAATGTGTAAGCTAGATTTAGGCCTACATTTTTTTGACATCTTCATGGACACCACAATGATTTCCCTCATGTGTTAATATATTTCCTTGTTATAATGTATGATTTGCAAAAATAAAAACTGCTGCATCTGTGTTGATGAGAGAATCAAAGTGTATGCACGTTCGTTGAGCACCTGCTACATTATAGCCAAGCATGCACGCTTAAAATAGCATTATGAACAACGCGTCAAAATAGCGTTTTTTTTCCTCTTCTGCACCGAATCTAGCGGTATATCTTTTTATGAGAGACAACATTTCATGTGGAAAATAAATTACAACAAGTGATAGCAATAATAATCCTATAATTAATCACCTTTTTTATTTCATTATTTTACTAATTTTACCCGCTACTGGCACTTTTGGTAAATAGCTCATTTTCAACCCAGTATATGCCCCCTATGGTTTGCCCATTGGTAGATATTTTTAAATCTTTTTCACTTGCTGTAGCAGTAAAAACTTAATTCAGGTATGATTTCTATACAGGAATCCCTCCTACTAAGTACCATTATGTGGACGATCTGGTCGTGATCCTTCCTCAGAATGTGTGGGAATATCTTTACAACAGGTGAGTCATGCATAGAAATGCACATTTTTGACCTTTAGGAAGTCCTCAGGACATTTATCACCTCAGTGGAACAAGGATTATTTTGGAGCTTTTGAGCTGGTGAAGTCAACAAAACCTCAGTCCAACCCTGAACTCACAAGATGTTTATGTCGGTTCGAGGCATCTGATGTCATGTTTAAGGAACTACACCAGCAGTGCAATGTAAACATTTTTGAGTTTTGTGTTTGGCCATACTGTGAATATTTCTTCATGTCTTTCACAGGTTTGGGGGAGGCCCAGCCGTGAATCACTTATATGTGTGTGCCATCTGCCAAGTAGAAATCGAGAGCAAAGCCAAACGACGGAAGCTGGAGATAGACACCTTCATCAAGGTGAGCAAATGACTTCACACAGAATATTTGCAAAAATAAGTGCCGTTCATGTACAGACAAACTAGTTTGCTATTGCGGGTTTAATATGTTGCCAACTTTTGTAACCCACTTAAAGGTGCTCTAAGCGATGTCATACATTTTTTGTCACATACAGCAAACATCTCCTCACTATCCGCTAGCTGAACACACTGTCAAAAAACGCGGTCTCTGCAGACACCCCAAGCTCCACAAACGGCAACAAAAACAAACTGGGCTAATCCGCACCACGAAACATAACAAACTGTTAACCGACAAGAAGGATTTGGGGGTGGGGTTTGGGGGGTTAGTACGCCGATGAGATGGAGGGAGGGTCTAGCTAGCCTCCGTTTTGTTTGACAATGCTTAAACGTCAACAAGAAGTGACATCACCCGACATCGCTTGGAGCACCTTTAAAGTAAACGATGAGATTCTGTCCATCTCCACAACACTCACTGTGAATCACAGATTGGAGGGAGTGTTCTTCTGGTTATCCACTCAGATATATAGCATTTTAAGGTTAACTTGGTGTGGAAACTCCTCTTGGAAGGAGCATAATGTTCTTGGAAGCGTTTGCTGCTCGTAAAGCCAGAGAACTGATGAAAAACAGACTGCACACTGAACAAGGATTTGACATGTACTGGATTGGAATCTTATCAGGAGTGCAGCATCTTATCATGTGCATCAACAGCTCTGAAACAGACATATTTTGAAACTTTGGAAAAATGTCATGTTTGAAACTCAATATTAAATGTAGCTATAACTGTTATACTAAAGAGTACGGAAACACTCAGATTGTTAAGAGGGAGTTTGAATTTGATAGTGGTCATGTCCCTCTCTTTTTCTTTTTTTTCTCTGTCTATAGTTAAATAAAGAGTTTCAGGCTGAAGAAGCGCCTACGGTTATTCTGTGTATCAGCATGCAGTGGTTCAGAGAATGGGAGAGCTTTGTCAAGGGCAAAGACAACGGTACATTCTTATACACTCACACACATGTGATGCTGCTTAATTTATTATTTAAAAAATGTATGCAGCAAAATTAATAATAATGTCAACCTGTGGCATTTAGTTCTCTGACCTGAGGGATGAATTGAAGTGTCTGTTTATATTGTACAGCTATTTTTAAGCATTCTATTTGTATTATTACAGTCACTAATAGAGGTGCAACGGATCACAGTTGGTCCGTGATCCGTATGGGCCTTACGGTCAGGCGTGCATGTGATTCGTGGATTATTTGCTATTTAAGTTTAACCATCATAGACTGAAAGTTTATCATTTGCATGTGTTTTTTTATTGACAGTTTACACATTCAAGCGATTTAAACCATTCAGAGAAGAGGTGAAAGGTTTATTTCAGTTAGCCTACTTGCTGGTTTAATTTGCATTGAGAGATGATCTTATGGAAAGTACCCCACGCCAATCTATATATGGTGAAGAGTATGTGATGGCCAAGGGGCATATTATCCTGGATCCATGAAATAACTGGCCTTTAAAAAGAAAAATCTGCCTGACTCTATGGGAATTTAACATAGGAGTGTCCTGACTTATGCACCCTGTATTTTAAAGAAGAACAATTATTTATATATTTACGATACATTCACAAAGAAAATTGGTGTCCTTAAAGGTTGGATTTTTCCTCATTTTCCTAGTTAAGGCATTAAGATCAATTTCCAAAAGATGATTTTTTTTAATTCCTTTTTTTAGTCAACTTTAGCATGGCTGTGTTCACTTATGCTAAGCACAGTACAGTTAACACTATAGTGTTAATTTACATGATATATACAAAACGATATGATCCGTGACTCAAAAACTGTAATATGATCCAAACCTAGAGTTTAGAGATCCGTAGCACCGCTAGTCACTATGAAATTAACATTGACAATTCTTATTCGTATTATTTTTTATGTTAAATTGCAGTATTCAATAATGTGCATATACCATGCATATCATTATTTTTTTATTCGTGTGTCCTCATTATCTGTAAGCAAAAACATTAACGTCCCCTTCCCCTTACAATGACATCTCTTCTCTGTTGATGTGTAAACCAACACAAGGACTTGGCAATGAGGTTGTCCAATGGCCTGACGAATTTCAATTCCTCCCCTCCAGCAATTTGTCACTCACATGAAACAATCGCAGCAATTAGCAAATGGCAACAATCCCGATGGACTAAATGAAGTCCCAATTTTTTTTTTCTTGCTCGAGCTGCCATTTTACTTGCATTTACGTCACAATAGAGAAAAAAAAATCCATTGCATTTTCCACTTAATGCTGACTTTTAAAGGGATAGTTTACCTAAAATTGTCGTCATGCTGTTACAAACCTGTATGACTTTCTTTTTTTCTTTACACAAAAGAAGTCATTTTTATTATATTAACAAAAAACACAGACATTTTTCAAAATATCTTCTTTATCTTTTTCTTGTGTTCCACAGAAAAAAGAAATGCATACAAGTTGAATGACATGAGAGTGAGTAAATGATGACAGAATTTTCATTTTTGAGGGAACTATCCCTTTAAAACTTTGTGTAAAATACATTACAAACATCCATGTTACTTTAGGTGATGTGTGAAATTTTTATCTGATGTTATAGTTCTCCCTAAAACTTTTAAGACTCAACCAATGGCGGGATTTTTTTGTCAGCTCTGCCAAGACCACCCTCTGTATTCTCAAGGGAATGTTTGCTTATGGACTGTAAAGGTCATTATTTTTTTTCCTTCCCTCTCTCTCTCTCTCTCTCTCTCTCTCTCTCTCTCTGATGGTTTAGAGCCGCCCGGCCCTATTGACAACAGCAAGATTGCAGTAATGAAAGGCGGACATATCCAGCTTAAACAGGGTATTGCCTGTCCAGAAATTGACGTGTCTGTGATTCATCTTGTGTCAAAACTTTGTGTGACTAGCATGTGTGTCTTTGTATATAGTTCATTATCTACGGTTTGGTTTGCAGGAGCAGACTACGGGCAGATATCTGAAGAAACGTGGCAGTACTTGTTAAGTATTTATGGCGGTGGGCCAGAGATTGCAGTGCGGCAAACCATCAGCCCCCCAGACACTGACACACATGGTGAGAGAAAGATAGAGGCTGAGACCAGAGCCCTCTAAAATGGTAAGAGTTACCTAAAAAAAAAAAAAAAAAAACAAAAAAAAAAAAAACGATTTGAACACTAAGCCACACTTGTATTTATATTTGGGCCAATACATTATTTATTTTTTTTTTTAGAGAATTCAGCAAGGAAGCATTAAATTGGTTAAAAATGATATAATGTTTAAAATTAATGAAAAATATTTTTTTATTATAGATTTTGTAGAATATATAGAATATGTCTGTAGTTAAAGCATTGAACTATACCTACTCTTCTGTGGAACCTGTGTGAACCCTCTTGTCTGAGAAAGTTAATTCTAAGAAAAGCTCAAGCATAATTCATTCTAATTCTAATAATGTTTAGTCAGCATATGGTACAGACTGGTATGATCCAGACAGACTGATTAATCACATCTACATACATTATCCTTGTGTTTGGCCTTTGATTCTTCAATTAGGGACACTTTTACTACTTGAAAACATAAAAAAAATGCAAGTTAATAAAAAAAATGTTCTTAATGAAATTATTTATCAAATGCTGCAATAAAAATCTGATCAAGGTTATGGTGAAGCTTCTGGTGGATTTTGGTATAATGTGTAATCTAGTTTTTTTTAATTGTTTGTGTGATTGTAACGACATGACTTTGGTGACATTCAACAAATGTGAAATAAGCTTTGGCCTTATTACTAAGCTACTAATCAACTTACTGTTTTAACAAACTACAAAATGACAAAAAATTAAAGAAATGTAAATAAAATACAAATTTAAATTCTCAAATAACTGGATTAGTAATGGTTTGATTTGATCTCAGATCAAAGTGTAAAACATATATACAATTAGTGTTTGTCTGCCTTTGCGTCACATTTTAACTCGTTGTATTAATGTATATCCTGACCAAATAGAAACTTTGCAGAATTTTCGTTATTGTTTTTATACAAATAATAAGTAGTTTTGTTAAACACTTTAGGGAAAAAATCTTTCTATAACTCTTTTTTTTAAATCAATTTATATGAACTGCCCAAAATAGAATCTAAATGTAAACTTTTAAAAATTAGGGTTATGGTTTACATGCACTATAAATGATTACAGCTATTATATTTTAAATGTATGTTGAACTGGAGCTTCTCTGTCCCCTAGATGATTTTACACAATATATATATATATATATATATATATATAAATCATCCTAGAAGACAATTACTGTAGTTGAAAAATCACCCATATACAGGTGAAACTCGTAAAATTAGAATATCGTGCAAAAGTTCATTTATTTCAGTAATTCATCTTAAAAGGTAAAACTAATATATTATACAGACTCATTTCATGCAAAGAGAGATATTTCAAGCCTTTATTTTGTTATAATTTTGATGATAAAGGCTTACAGCTATGAAAACCCCAAAGGCAAAATTCGAATATTGTGAAAAGGTTTTCATAAGCTGTAAGCCATAATCATCAAAATTACAACTATTTTGTTATTATTTTGTTATATTTTGTTATACAATTTTGTTATTATTTTGTTATAATTTTGATGATAATGGCTTACAGCTAAGAAAACCCCAAAGACAAAATTTGAATATTGTGAAAAGGTTTTCATAAGCTGTAAGCCATAATCATAAAAATTATAACAAAATAAATTTGTTATAATTTAGACTTGAAATACTTGAAATATCTCACTTTGCATGTAGTGAGTCTATATACAGTATATTCATCTTTTAAGTTGAATTAATGAAATGAACTTTAGCACAATATTCTAATATTTCGAGTTTAATGCAGGAACGAAACATTCAATTGTTATTGATAGGTTTTGTTTGTTTCTTTGCTCTACTGTAGGTGATGAAGACCAACGTGTGGATGACAAGTCACGCACTGCACTTACTGTCTTACAAGCATTTCGTGACCATTTCTGTGGATCTGTTATCTGTGAATGACAGAGCTCTCCTAGTGTAGGAAAGGGTCTTATTTATTAGGTGAATAAATCTATTATCAGACACACACATCAAACATATTTAACATTCTTGAAGAAGCTTCATACATGTGCGCTGGTGATACACTTGTTTCAGTTGTCATTGGAATTAGGGCAGTGACTTAAGCATTTCCCAGTAGTGCAGAGAGGTAAATACCTAATGAATCAAGCAGGACATATTCAAAATGTTTAACTGGCACCTGCCTAGGAAAAATAAGGCTTGAACTTAGTATCTGCATGTTCAAAGAAGCTTTCTTTGCCACCCAACTCCACTATATCACAAAAATTCACAGTACAAATGTAATGAAATTGATGGCACTGAGTTTTTTTTTTTTCTAATGAAAAAGAATAGTTGAAACATGATGATGTTGAAGGCTTAATCCTTTCAGCACAATTTCCATCAATACTCAACAATCAAACTAAATCATATTCTCTGGAAACTATAGGAGAGATACGATTTGATGTTACAGATATATACCGGTGCCAGTACTTTTTGCTTTGGAAGTTATAATTCAGGGCATTAAAATAATTCATCTTAAGAAGCAACAGGATGTGATGCCATTGGTAAATTTGCCTTTTTTTATGTTGAATCTAGGGCTTGTTTACTCAATGCTACTGAAACCGAAACTGTCATTACACAATATAAGATTCTATATTAAAAGCTCAGGATGTGTTTGCCATTAATATTATTACATTTTGTTTTAATGCACTTTAAAAACCTCAGTTTTGACATAGCTCCATGCTCTGTCGCAATAGAAGGGAATGAATTCTTCACGGATGTCCCCATCTCGGCGCCCCAGCTCTGACACAGGGTTGCGTAAGCTACTATGTTTGACGTATTCACTATTAAATGGTCTTCACATTTTTCACAATTTCCCCAGAATGGCAAAAACGTACAGTAACTGCTTAGTCAAATGCTTGGTGTGCTGTCTGTTAAAACGTTCATTCATTTCATATATGCCACAATGGTTTAATGATGCAGCTCCACAGTCTCAAATGAAACTAAACTACTTTTCCAAGGGAATGTGCAATGAGGCGAATCAGATGTGTTGGAAATGCTAATAGAATGCAGATAAGCTAGCCTAACTATGTCATTTCGAACATATTCTGTGTACATAAAAAAATATAACAGTATTTATTTATGAATGTCTTCTTTTCTCATAAGCAAACGGTCAGAATTGTGGAGAATTGCTTGTGTATAGGACAATATGGTGTGTTACATATTTTGTTGCAGGAACTTCCAAGGTAACTTCTGATGTAATGCCTTTTTAACTTAAGTCATTTAAATGTTAAGAGCTGTCTGATTTGACTTATAGAAATAAAGCCTGTTTTTTTTTCTCCACAGTGTCTATTTCTTTATTTTATTGATTTTTATATAGTTCTGTGATCATACTGTGGTTTCCAGAACTGTCTTGAATTGCTACATTCATGACCAGCTTGATCCAGTTATAAACTTCAGATCCGTTTTACGTAATCTAAAGCCATGCCCACACTTGTTAAGTTGTTTCTTTACCAGAATCCTATAATCGTCTCTTGATTCTTTTTTTTTTTTTTTTTTAGCTGATGATTTAAATTAATTCTTAAAAATATATCATTTTAATTGTTTTGTAATGGACATTGTCAATATACCCAGTGTTTATTAACTTAAATTTTTATGTTTTCATTTGAATGTTGATTTTAAGTTTTTTTTCTTTTTTTTTTTTTCTATGTGTTTTGTAATTTTTATTTATTTTCTATTTGGCTTTTATTTAATTTCAGTTTTAGTTATTTTAGTATTTCAACTTGAATATTTAAAATAAATTTTTTAATTTAAAATACTTAAATATGTTTTTAATGTTGAAGTTTTTCCATATTATATTTAATTTAATCTTTAATTAATCATTAAAGTTTTAATGGTCAGTTTTTTTTTTTTTTTTGTTTTTTTAGTAGCTTCAATGACACTAATCGACCACATGGACAACTCTTTCAGCTTTTTTATTTTCCTGTTTTTCTTAATGCCTTTTATTCTCTACTAGCTACCTATCTAAAGTTGTATATTTGCTAAGCCTAGTTTTTAGGCTGAGCTATTTCCATGGGTCCATCACTTATGGATACAAACTGCAAATGTTCAAGGATGCATATTTAGCTCCCAGAGCCCCATGCCTTCTTTAAGCATGCATGCTGAGAAACATCTACTCAATGTTACCTTCACGCTCGAGGCTCTGTTCATCTTAATAATCACCACTCCCTGCATGCCCCCAACCCCCCACCCTTCGTCTCAATCCTCTTTGTCCTCACACTGCCTCTGGAATATTGCTTCAACTGCCCTGTATAAACCAAAGAATCTCACAGGGAAGGTGAATATTTATGTGACAGAGCATTATCATTGTTGATGTCATTGTAAGCCCTCTTTCTGTCTGCAGGCTGAAGAAAAGAGCACAGCAGGAGGAGGAGAGAAGGATGCGGAGAGCTGCAGACCACCCATCTGTGCGGCTGTCTTGTCTACCGTAAAGGATTGTAATTTTCATCCCAAAGTGAGTCGTCATTCCTCTGTTTTTGCGCAATTGCTGCATCTGGCTTTCATTATCTAAAGGGTCATTTCAGGAAATAAACATGCTTTGTGTATGACTGTTTCTTTAAACATTAGCATGTGTGGTACTAGCTGGGCTGCAGAAACATCTGGCTGCTCTTTTGTTTAACACAATAGATAAATATTGAATTGCTGAGTCTAAATGATCAGGATATTGTTAGTCAAGACTCTGTTTTTCAGTGTGCTTATTTTAAATGATAATAACATGTTAACCTTGGTTCATAAAACCATTTAAAAAATAATAATTGAAAGCCAGTTTAAACTGATATTTGTGGTATGAATAAGAGTAAAATAAGTGCTGTACACAGAGATGAAAAAAACATTTTCACTATAAACATAAACATTGTAGTAAATGGTAAATAAAAAAAAAAAAACTTTCTGCTTTATTAACACATCAAGAGTTATATCCAGAAGGCCTAATTCAAAGTTGAAATATTTACTAAACAAAAGATATCAGTGCTTTCTGCTCAGATTTGATGCTTGATTTGTTGTGCTGGTTTTGAAAGTTTCATATTCATATATGAGTGTATTGAAATGGACTTTCTCCTATGAAATACACCAATATTCATTTCATTTAATTGCTTTAAGCAATTGCATGAATCAGTCGACATATCCATGTAATCAGGAGGTAATTCTGCGGTTTCCCATAAGTACATCACCAAACCGTCACTCAAATGTCTGCTAAAATGTCTCAAATTCCCTTCAGTTATCTCTGACACAAAGGCAGGCAAGAGGCGTTAACAATAAGCTCAGATCAATGTTGTCAACCAAGGCAGCGTCACATCTGGCATGAGGTAATAACATCATGGCTGTGAAATTACATTTTAATAGACCTTGTTATTAACACTTCAGTGAGTGGAGAGCTTGTGCATCTCTATCAACCGGTCAGTGTCACAGCTCAAGTGCTCAAAATGATCAATGCTAAGACCCCTTCAAAGTTATTTAGGTGCACTTATTAACACACACACCTAAAATATATAACACCTAATGCTGTAATCAAGGATTTACATTCATGTAATGGAGTGGAAAATGTTATCGATATTAGAGATTGTATCGGTCGATATTGGGTGTTTAATTGTGCATTCTCATTTTCTCATTTTAGATCAAATTTTCTGACATCTAAAATTATCTTTAAAAACACTAATTAATAACAGTTAAATGTAGTTTTTCAGCAGATCTGAAGATATATATACAAATTTCATACTGTACATGAAGAGTTCAGATGCAAAAGCCTCTAAATGCCATTTGAAATTTTCTTCTTTAATGATGATTTTTATCAAACTTGTATATTTAAGTTCAGTGATTTCACTTAAATGGCAATGATAATTACCTATTAATTGTTATTTAAGTGAAATTACTGAACTTAAATATACAAGCTTGATAAAAATGGTCATTTTAGAAGAAAATGTCAAATGGCATTTAGAGGCTTTTGCATCTGAACTCTTCACATATACATTTACTTGTAGCATGTTTTAGTAAAATCAGCATCCTCTGACTGCACAGGTATTTTGATACAAGTCTTTTACCCAGAGTTCTTGTAAACCGCAGTCCACATTAGTGTAACGTTAATTGTTCTGAGGTGCAGATGATCCGTGATGCCATCAGACGAGTCGACACTGCTGAGTGTGTTATGTTTCTTTCCCCAGGCTGGACAATGGTCCGAGAGAGATACTCATGACACCGCCGAGACTTAAGCAACAATAGCGACAATGCTCACAGTCACACCCTTCACAGGGTGGGAAAATACAGCTTCACGGATCTCGACTAGTGCAAAATGGAGACTTTATTATAGCTTCTGATATTCTATCTGATGATAATATGAGTTGAAAGTAAGGTGTGGCACTGCATTTAGATACACACTCATCACTGATATCATATAAAAAAAAATGTGTCATATTTTTAACCAACACTGAATCTGACAGAAATATTACTGACCATGTTTCAATATTTTGCACTAAACTTACTATTGACCTTGTGACCGTTCAGTAATTCTGTTTCTGACCTCTGTGTAGCTCTGATCCATTTGTGTTCAATAATTTTCTCGTAGTACCTCTGCCTTTTCTTGTCTCCATGTTTCTTTTTCAGTGTTCAGCGTGTACTCCACCTTGTAATTGTCACTACCTCCAGGCGAGGGTTTGAACAAAGCATTCCTAGGAAAGACTTACCTAAGTCTAAATTTGCTTTCTCACGCTTTATTTTTCTTCCCATTTAGCTCTTTTCACACAGACACGCTTATTATTTGCCATCATATGTTGACTCCAACTGAATCCTTAAATGACAGCCAGTGCTTGAATGAGTAAAGGTCTCTACACTGCAGACATGTGTTTCAGTGTATACCTGATAAAAGGTTATGCTATTTAGGAAGAAAGTTGTTTAAGCAATTTGCATCCGACGAGAGTCTCAACAATGGGATGTGCCATTTGCACACAGTTGATTGATATGTGGAGTGTTTCTGGCTCACAAAGAGGCCAGACATCAATGGACTTGTCCCATTTGCCAGATAATTCTCAGCAGGACTACCACAGACTCTCAGGCCTCCACTACACATCCTCTTTCTCTGATGCGGAGGACTGCTGCGATGACATCACAAATACCAGCTCTTCCTCCTCCTCGGACTATCTCGGAATAGACTGTTGACACTTGTGGTTTTGTACTATTGCAGGTATTATTATCGTACTATTAGTGACACCTTTTGCCAAATATTGCCATTTGGCACCAAATTCAGTCACTCACCCAATAGAGAGCCTAAGTCCCTCCCCTTCGGTCGACCACTATGGGACCTTATTTCGGAAAAATATTGAATGGTAGTCAATGGCGAGAGACAAACTCGTTTGAATTGTGCCCTGAATTATGATGTTTGTCAATTTAAAAGATACATTTTAAAGTAAAGAAAGTCGCAGTTTGATGTAAAACTGTTGAGGTATAAGACTGTGAAAATACGTATTTATAAAGACTACAAACCCCAAAGGCGCACATTTTCTCTCAATGAATGAAGCTAACTTTACTGAGGCTAATGTCATTGTTTATAGTCTTACGTTATAATCATAACGTAACACCGTCATACCTGAGTGTATTGTAGGCTACCAGACTGCACACACACGAGCAGCGGATCTTACTCGTTGTTTCGCTTCCCGGGAGATGTAGTTCATTAAGCGATTTCCACATAAAACTAAATGTTACTCTTCTGTTTTATGACAAACTGCGACGTTTTTGACTTTCAGAATTATCTTTTAAATTGACAAACATCATATGTGTAATTCAGGGCACAGTTCAGACGGAATAAAAAGATAATTTGTCTCACGCCATTGACTACCATACATATTTTTTCCGAAATAAGGTCCCATGAGCCGGAAGCGGAGGGGCGGGACTATGTCAATGAAATATGCTGAGGCCATGACACGTCTACATTAATCCAGATACATTCATAAACGTTTCAAAATGCTCTCTGTCCACACTAGCGTTTTCCAAAAGTTTCTCATCCACACTGAAACATCGGGAAGCGCTAAATTCACTTTACTGCGCATGCGTAATAGCTCATATTAGCTCACTGAGATGATACAGATGGAACAGATGTAAATTTCTCACGCAATTCTGGCAGGATCATTTTATTTAGCAAGATATCTCACCATTCACTGATGCATCCAGGTTGCACTCAGTCACCGTTAAGCTAATATGTTTGGTCTAAAATGAAACTGCTCTCATGTTTTGCCACAGGACAGCAATTGCGAGTAAATTTTCTGGTATCTTTGCAGGCCTGCGATATGAAGTGTACACAAAGTGATATATCTTTTTATAACAGTGTGAAAGCATTTTTAAAAAGCTTGGTGTCTTTTTGTGGAGTAACAGAAGGCGAAAATGGAGAGAAAAAGATGCATTGGACAAAGCCTTAAAGTCTGCCCGAATTAAACCTTGTATCTTGACCATGTGAAAAGGGTTCTGCTCTCATTTTGTCCACAATGTTCCACAATTTAGTTCCAATTTAAACAACAAACCTATCACTGTCAGGGAAAAACACCAATAGAATTCTATTCTATAATAGAATCACCCTTATTTTTATCATTGTGGCTGGAAATTCTGTTTGGAAATATGAATGTACATTCTAAAAAATAAAGCTTTCAATTATGTGAAAATTGTAATGCTGTTGGTTTCTTCTGAGAGGAACAAAAACATTCATGAATATTGTGATTAAATTATGGTGTTTTAAGATGCGATCAGATTTACTATTGTTTAGCAGGGGCAATCCAGCTATTTTAAAAGGAATGGAAATTTGCTTTGGCATAGATCTGGCCCAAATAAACAGCTGAAGTGTGGCCCAAGTTGACCTTTTTTGTGTTTGCCTGCCCAAATCTGGGGTCTGTACCATGATGGTAGTTGAACAAACTCAGGGTTGAAGGATTAGTTTCGAGTTGACAAAACCAAACCAATCCAACCAGGGGCCAATACCATGAAGCCGGTTTAGGTGGCTAGCCAGCTTTGTTCCAGTTTAGTTTGCGCCAACCCTGGGTTTTAGGTACCATGAAAAGGTACCATTTGGCTTTTAGCAGTGTTCATCCCCATAGTAACTTACGCTCCACGGTTAACCAGGTCTGGGGCAGGTTATGTTCCAGGTAAGAGGTTGCAAACCGAGCAAAGTGACACATGTCTGACGCGATAAAGTCACTCCACCTGTTTCTACTCCAAATTAAAGGTCACTACACAGAAAATGATTTTAAAAGACAAAATCATGGCTTTTAGTAAATAAATTTGTATGATTTAGAAATTATTTTTGTAATTATTATACCCTTAAATGATCTCACATGTACAATTTCAGTTCATCAATTATTATTATTACGTAGATTTTAAATGAATACGTATATAAAAGTAATATAAATATGCTTTAGAATAAAGAAATGAAGCTATAAAATTTTTTTTAAAAACCTTTATCAACTGTATAAACTTTTACTTGCACTGATATCCAGTAGCGAGACTTTCTTTTAGTTGTCCCTCTTTCATAGACATTTTCTTCCTGCTGTACATTTGTTTAAATTCTTAATTGCGCGGTAACTTCTCTCGCGAGAAATTAATTTCAATGAGTTTTGAATGATTTTCACTCTTCCTCAGCATGTGATTGGCTGTTCGCTATGATGTCACACCTAAACTCCTAAACTCAGGATCAAAGCCGTTTTTCGTTTTGCAACCTCTTACCTGGAACATAACCTGCCCCGGACCTGGTTAGCCGTGGAGCGTAAGTTGCTATAGCGATGAACACTGCTAAAAGCCTCTGAGCATGAGTAGACAGACTGCTCTAGGTCTGCTAGCTGCTGCACTGAGTTGACAATGAATACAAAATTAAGGATAATTTTTTGGTTTCAATATCTCGAGAAGATGAATCTTTCCCGTAGCGTAAGCTAAACTTACGTAATACGAGAGAACCTCACGTCAGAGAAACCAAGTTCAGTATTTATTACAAATAAAACAAAACATGGAACAAAAACATGGTGTGGCATGAAAACAAAAAACAAAGCATGAACTTGCCCGACAACAGGAAACAATACTTGACAAAGACACATGGCAAACATGAGGACTTAAATACACAAGAGTAATGACAAGACAAGGGACACCTGTGAACAATGAACAGCAATTAACCAATGACAAGGCATGGCAGGATCACATGACAAACAGGGAATCACATGACAGACATGATTTCCTGACAATGTCAGACCTACTTCCGCTAATTTCATTTCGCTCCTGTAGTCAGTCTGAGATAGCAGCCTATCTTTCAGTTTTCCAGCGGCCTTCGGACAGCCGGCTAATCAACGAACAGAGGGCGGGGTGAGGGCCGTGACGTAGACGCTAAGCGCCGAGTTTTACATTAGGTTAGAGAAATCGAAAACCGAAACGATCGCGGAAATGGGGAACGAGACACAGGATGCATGCATGCAGCTTTCTTTTCCAGTCCTTAAATATTTCCATGTCATGCTTTAATCTTGAAATTAAATTGCAGCATTTCCGACAGACTCGTGAGGAACAAAGAGCTGTGTTTAAAAGATCTAATCCTAAGTTTGAGAGTTGGCTACAAATATTTTCTTGTTTCACCCTGGCTCTAAATAAGTTAGAGGCCGTGATTGTACCGTGAATGCGTAAATTAACTTCGCATAATCTGCAAAAGTTGTTTACAGCCATGTTCACTCCGGTATTTCGCTCGCATCATCAAGTGTTTACCATAGACAGTATAAGAAGTGGACAGAGCGATATCATTGGAACTCCATTGAGACGACTTGGCGGGTTTTTTTAGCACTTCCGTCCCTGACGTGCAGACTCAAACAGAGCTTGACGACGTAGATGTGACGAGCAACCCGTCTTTATTCTAGTGGCTGTGGCATGAGAAATCTGAATCATTCCCTTCTGAAACTTGCAGAGGCGGAGAGTGTGAGTAGGAGCTGTCCATGAGCAAGTAGAATGAGACAATTTTGCTAGGTATTCTGATTAATTATTTTGTCATTTTGCCTCCACGTTTCCCCGATTGCGCGCAAGCTTCTTCTCCTGTCCATACGGTATTCTCTCTACTGTGCGACAGAGAGTCGCGTGGTTATGACGCAGTCGTTAGCCCACTTCCACTAAAACTGCTTCTACGGGGCCATAACATAAGCTACAAGGTAATGGAGCATTTTATACATTGTCATGTTTCTTTAGAAATAAATAAAGGACAAATGGGGTCTTCAAACGCCTCAGATGTAAAGTTATTCGCCAAAATGAATGGAAGTCAATGGGAATGCTAACGCAAGTGAAGTTCTGCTACAAGATGGCAGCTCCCTCGAGGCTTCAACTTCTGGTCGATGGATTACCCCCTTGGTGTTTACATGAAATCCAAGGTGGGCCGAGGGGAGATTTCGTGTTTTCAGATGATTCGTGGGGATGGATAACCCAGTTTTTTATATAACCATTACACTTTTCAACAAAGCAAATAAAAATTGTTGCCACTCACATACTTTAAACATATAATATCTGTAACTTTCTCCAGGTTATTTTCCCGGCGAATAGAGCAGGCGGCTACGTGTGGGGTCCGACATGCTTGACGTATTTGTTGCCTTCATCCAATAGCATGCTTGGGAAAGTGTTGGTGACAGGTTTTTCAACACACACAGGCAGCTGATATGAACTTGCTGTCTGTGCACATCTACAGTAAAGTTGACCGAGTGGATCTCTGATTTCGTGAGTGTGGAGGCAGGGCTAATTTATTCATGAATTTTATGGAATACATTCTTTTCTTTTATAATTTTTTCTGTCAAATTATTGTACTGTTTTAGGTTTTTATTTTAAATTGTGGCTTGAAACATCCAAAGCCTGTATAAGAGCTTGAAAAACAATTGCAGATTGGTAGCTATTTCATGGTTTATTTCTGTAAAAAAAATAGGGGATCTAAGGAGGTCTAAGGCCCCTCTTTTCAGGGTTAATCCTTCACGGTTTAAATTTGTATTCCAATTGAAAAGTGGTGGAAGTTATTTTGTAATGTAACATTATCCAGTAGCCTACATGTCTCACCCTATCCTCATATGGACGTGTGTCATCACACGGGCAGGAAGTCTGCACGTCAGTGAAAGTTTCTTGCCAGGTAGTGAGTTATAGGGAATAGGCTGGACAAAACGGGGATTCACATATAAATACTTCTCCAAATAGGCTACGTCTCCATCATATCATACAAACACACACTCAGTCTGTTGAAGTCAAAATGCTCGGGAGCGATGTACTGTTATGCTTCATCTTCTACAGCACGCTCTTAATCTTAAAGATGTACATCATCGCTATCATTACGGGCCAAGTGAGACTTCGGAAAAAGGTAAGTTGTGAAGCATTTTATCCAAAATACTTTTCATTACTGCAAACACCGCTAGCGACGAGACATAATCACTACAAGACAGTCGAGCTCTAAAATAAAGTGTTTCTCTTCGAAATGAAAAAGTTTTCATCCGGTTTGACGTCCCAGACAGATGTAAAACCTACGTGTTTTGACAGGCTTTTGCTAATCCCGAGGACGCCGAAAGACACGGAGGTGTGCAATTCTGCCGCATCGATCCATATGTGGAACGCTGTAGGAGGTAGGTTAATTTACACATCTAAATTCAACATCTCTGTGATTTTATGTTTGATGCTACTAGAGTGTCCAGTCCACATGGTTAATTCACAACAAAACTGGCCAATGTTAACAAATGCATTTGTTGGCATGTTGGGCTAATGCATGCCACTATTTATGATCTCTAATTGTAACGTAGATATACTAATGAAACAAGATTGCAAGATCTCTCTCTCTCTCTCTCTCTCTCTCTCTCTCTCTCTCTCTCTCTCTCTCTCTCTCTCTCTCTCTCTCTCTCTCTCAGACTCTCTCTCTCTCTCTCTCTCTCTCTCTCTCTCTCTCTCTCTCTATCTATCTATCTATATATATATATTTACAATTTTATTTCTACATTGTACAAATATCAATACAATATTGTTCAAATTCCCTTTTTTAAGTGAAAGTTTGAGTCACCATAATTTACATTTCAAAAATGATGTTCTGTTCCTGTGTGACATATTGGGACCATCGTTTTTGTATGTGAAGGTGACTCAACCCTTTACTTACACAAGAGAGAAAAAAATATACATACGTATATATTAGATAATTTTTCTAAATTAGTGTTTTTTGTTTTTAGACTTTGCATGTCTATAGATATGTTTTTACAGACTGTAATGGTGTGTTTCACAGTTATCAATATCACAAATATTTATTTTAATGCTGCTGTGATGGTTTTTCTAATACAGCAGCTGGCAAGTTTGGCAAATTTTTACAGCCATTCTTCTGACTGCTGTAATCAATCTCCTGCTATTATTATCATCATTTTTTTCACTTTTTTGGAAAGTCATGGAAATGCTATCATGGATTTTTTCTTTTGCTATTGGAGCGAATGGGAATACAAAAATTATATTTGCTGTTGTCTCCCGTTCACCACCAAGTCCCGACTATGACAACTTCCGTTTCTGAAAACTCTGGAAATGTGAAAAGTACCCATTCATTGGATATGTATTGCTTCAGTCTTGTTCCCACTAGGTCCATTTAGCTGGAAAAACTGTGCTGGGTGTCTGGTAGATTGGTTCTTTTCTGTAGCACTGTCGAAGTATTCAGAAAAGGAATACTGGTATGGCTCTGTGCTAAAATTCACAGACCCTCTATATAGGAAGCCTCATGGTTAATTCATAATGAACTGCGTGTAGCTAAGATCTCTTTTTTTGCCCATTTGTAATAATAATAGTCACTCGCCGTGCCTGTTTGTTCGACTATGTTTCCATAGTATTAATAGCCTACCTGTATATGTGTATGTGAGAGCATGTGATCAAAGAGAGATTTTATTTTGAGACTACACACTCTAAAACAATCATAAACTTGGCTGCCTGTTAGGGAACATTCATCATACTTCAAGCTGCAGGGCTCTTAGTGTTTGGCTTTCCTAACTTATCATCAGGAAACTTGCCTGTTATTACAGACCACTCCAACCTACATCTGCACAATCGGAAAATGATAAAGATGTTATTTCAGTTGACTGCTCTGAAATCACTTAATGGCACTGGAAAGTTTTGTTTTCTATAAGTGGTTCATTTAAGATATTCATATGTGATCTTAAGTTGCCAGATTGGTAAAATGTGACACGGTAGGACTTGTCAGCAAGTCCTGACAAGACCATTATTTGACCTTAATTGCAATGCATTCACAAAGGTATTTCACTACAACTCAGGTTTGCGTATTTGTTTTATAATGTCTTTGAACCAGGTGCGTACAATCAGATTTTGTGTTAGGATAAATGCTACAACATTTTTAAGGAAGGATGGAAAAAGGTGAATAACAAATAAGTAAAAGTTATGTTCTGCTTTTGAAATGAAATACCAGCAGAATATGGTTATAATGGAAAGACCTTGTTGGGGCAAAAGATATGGAAGAAGCTGTGTAATGCTGGATTTCACAACGATGTCAGCTATGTAACAAACAATGAGAAAATAATGGGAAATTTGACCATCATTTGTTCATGGTGGTATGAATGTCAACATATGATTAATTCCTTTAAAACTGGTACAGGAAGCACTTCTCATTGCTGTGATCTGTTCATGCGATGACGCACTGTGTGAGTGATTCGTAGTGAAAGTAATTTTACATTGCAAGATTGTGTGATGTTGGCAATGTTTACTGTCTGGCATGCTGCCATTAGACAGAACCAGACAGTTTACAGTCTTGATCAAAGCCAGATGTTGAGCGTACATACCTCAGCTCCTTAGAAAAGCAGCTTTCCATATGTATTTCAGCAGTCTGGAATGTTAAAAATGCCTCAAAGGGCTATTCATCCAAATACAGTGTTTAGAGAATAACATTACCTACGTAGAAGTATTAAAAGAGAGGCTTAAATGACAATGTGGGAATTACTCACAATGAGCTATGATTAAACAAGCATGGTCATGTTGCTATACATCATTCATAAATGGCAAAACTCTTTGTCTTCTATTACCAAAGTCATAGTCGGGGAGCCAAAGTCTCAAAAGGTCAATAAAATGGGTTGAACCTGACAAGGTCTGCCATACTTTTTATTTGTGTTTTTTTCTGTTAACTTTGACCCTAAGAACAAATAATTGGGTCTGCTCTGCCGGAAATATCGCAGAAAAAAAAATTCTGTCTATTTTAGTGTATGCACCCTTTATTTTTTATCAAAAAAATGTGAAAAATTATTTTTTTCATCAAATCCTTTGTGGGTTTGGTAGGCTGTCAAGAAATGCATTCCAAATACACAGAACACATGTGCTGACAACATCCACTGAAAAAATAACTCTTAAAACACATTTCTACATGGTTTTGAATCAATTTAATGCAAAAAAGGTGTTTTCTCACTTTTTTAGTCTCTACTCTATACCCCATACCTGTGAGGAGTTATGGCCATTTAAAGAAACCACCTAAATTAGCTAAAACGGCTAAAGCTAGCCAAGTAAACTAGTAGAGAATGAATTCTGCTGCTACAGGGATACATTTGGAATGAGGAATCATCAGAAATATACTTGTTTGAAGACTGACATGGTCCTTTAAGTTAATTACCATTACAATATCCATATTACCATTCTTTTCCCAAAACGCAGGGGCAGACCTACTGGTATTCACTAAAGTCACTGTCACTTACCACAGACAACGATGAACAGCTTCGAAGTCAGTTGGTAACCGTTGGTTGATTGTTCCAAACTCATTAAAATTACTAAGATCGTGTGTGTGTGTGTGTGTGTGTGTGTTTGTAAGTGTGCCATGATGCTAAATATCTAGCATGTTTTTGAGAATTTTGAGAGTAGCCTAAAATTCTATTAAAGTTCTGAGCTTGTTGATCACCAACTAGTAGTGAAATCATCACAGATCCATTGATTTTGGTTGGATTTTTATATTTTTTTTCTGTGGAATGTGTATAGTGTTTGGTGAAAAGAATGGCATATTGACTGATGTCATAACTTAGGGGAATAGTTGATTGCCAATGAAGTAAAGATGAAAATATTGGGAAAAAAGTGAAAAAAAAAAACGCCTACTTTTTCGCATTAAATTGATTCAAAACCATGTAGAAATGTGTTTTAAGAGTTATTTTTTTCAGTGGATGTTGTCAGCACATTGTTCTGTGTATCTGGAATGCATTTATTGACAGCCTGATTTATTTGATGAAAAAAAAAAAAGTCACATTTTTTTGATACACTAAAATGGCCAGAGTTTTTGTTTTTCACGGTATTTCCGGCAGAGCAGTTTTGTTCCAAATTTGTTCTTAGGGTCAAAGTTAACAGAAAAACAAAAACAAATAAAAAGTATGGCAGACCATGTCAGGTTCAACCCATTTTTGAGACCCCCAGTATTATTCATGTTTCCAACAGCTTTCAGCAGTTTTCCTTACTTCCTCTACACCAATACACACGGTTTACATTACAATTTTCAAAGGTTTTTCTACATTAATTTGACAATGTTTTTTTTTGTGTGTTTTTTTTCAGAGCACACAACAATGATATGGAGAACATTTTCCCCTTTTTATTTCTCGGAGCCATCTACTCCATGACAAGCCCCTCGTATGCAGTAGCCCGACTTCATTTTCTGGTCTTCTTCCTGGGTCGAGTTGTCCACAGCATAGCATATCTGTTGGCACTTAAAGCACCGACGCGTTCATTTGCCTATGTCATCGCTCAGGTGCCCTGCGTTTCCATGGCAATACAGATACTCATGGACGTAGCCTCATCCGCATAACCCTGTCAAATATGGATTCCTGTGATTGGTTAAGACTTCTAGTTACAAATGTGATGCGGAATGCTACTTTGATGGACTTACGGCATCTCAACATCTCACATTTCACTTTAGAATCAGACTTGATTGATGACTGACAATTAATAGCTCTGCTCTTAAACAACACAACATTCATTGCACTGGTTTGTATGCCATGTGTATTGTTGCATTACCTTTCAAATGAAGGTTGTTTAAGGTTATTTTTTCCCCCAATGACCAAGTTTTCAAAATATTCTCATAATATGTGTATTACTTGAAACAACCAAGGAAAATAACGATAAAGATGTAGTTCTAAAAATTAGTTCTTTTAAATATAAAAGAATAACAGAGTCCACACCACAACTATTATGATAACGGCATTGGGAATCAATTGTTGGAATTAATTTCAGAACAAATTTTTCCAGCTGATGAACTATAATAACATTATCAGTCAATCAGAATCCACTCTGATTTAAAGAGCTCAAGCATTTAAAGCTTTAGAAGAAAACTACAGAACATGCTTAGAATGAACATGGGGTGCGTTTCCCGAAAGCATCGTTAGCCAACTATGGTCGCAAGTTCCGTCGCTACCAATAGAGTTCAATGGAAATTGCGACCAAATTGCGACCATAGTTGGCTAACGATGCTTTCGGGAAACACACCCCAGGACAATCTCAGCTGTTGTTGTGGATGCTGATATAGTTATAATCATAGTTATCTTCTTGGTGTGAATAGGCCCTTACTCACCTTGAATGGACCTCCAGTCTATAGCACAACCATTATTTAGAAGACTTTCTGTGACAAATAGCATCTTTTCACTTTCATACTGCAAAGTTTACACAAGCAATAACTGCTGAGGTCAGTCCAGAGTCCATGTGAACTTTCCAAACAAAGTAAAAATTCCCTTGTTATTGAACCATAAGCCCTGCAGAGCCCAGACCTTTCAAATTTATTGTAGCGTTAAACAGATGCTGTCGTCCTTCCTCTTTGCCCACTGGGCTTTAGGTTTTACTGCATTTCGAACACCGCCAGGGGCTTTGCCTGTCCTCAAGAATGCTTGCATACAGCATCCAAAGCCAGTGCTTTGGTTGAACAAGCTTTTATACAGTATATATATATATTTTTAAGGTGTAACTTATTGTAATTAGTTTATAGTATTGTATCATTTGCGTAGTGATGTTTCAAAAGAGATGATGAGAAAATCTTAGTTTTTATAATAAAGGAATAATGAAAGATTTTGTGTGTGCATGGGTAAGTGTGATACTTTGTTGACTAAAAAATGAGGGACAGTGGAGTGGACTGCCTACACGCCAAAAACAAGAGCTGAAAGAGAAAGAGGGACAAAGAGAGAAGAAAATCAGAGGCGATGGATATGAATAGCTGCCAAATAGGCAATTATAACATAGCAGACCCCATTGTTACTTCTCAGTACAAAAAGCGAAGGAAAAAGACTGACAGGAAAAGTTAGATTACTTCTAAAAACTTTGTGAGAAAGGAATATTATTGCTTGACATTAGAATAAACCAGATCTCCAGTACTATTATTGCAGATATCACAAATGACACAATCTTAATTGGTTTGATGTAAACACCACTGCCACCTATGGCGGAAGTGAAAGAAGATTAATGTGTGAAAGAGAGGGCAGCAGAATTTGTCTTGCTAGAGAGCATGTAAGGAAGCGTGTGTAGGTAAAGAACCTATGTAGTCAAGTATAGTCTATTCATCTGAAACATGCCGTGGCTTGTCAGCGAAAATGTATATAAGTGTATGCTCAGAGCTTTTACTAGAGATGTTCATAAAAAAAGCCTTCAACAAAAAGACAAGCATACTCTGCTATCAAAAATTAATGTGCAAAAATAAGAACATGGCTTGTCACTGGGACATTACCCTTTAAAGCAGTATACCTTATCTACAACTAAAATGTGCAGTTTTAGTACCCTACGCAAGGCAAGTTTATTTATATAGCACATTTCATACACAATGGTATTTGAATGTGACTACTGTAGGAGCACATCTGATCTCTTCTGGAAGCTGGTTCTAGCTGCGGCTGGCATAATAGCTAGCAGACTCTCCATACTTAGAGTGAACCCTTGGTATTACTTGCTGATGTGATCCTCTGAGTGATCTGTTGGGTTTATATTCAGTGAGCATATCTGCAATGTATTGAGATCCTAACCCATTGAATGATTTATATACCAGTAATAATACTTTAAAATCAATCATAAATGTAACTGGGAGCCAGTGTAAAGACCTGAGGTGTGATGTGTTCATATTTTCTGGTCTTTTGTCTTTTGGTATTTTCCAGCCTGTCAAGAAGTATGTTGTGATCGACAGCGTCAAATGCAGCACTGAGGTTGAGTATAAGCCGGTAAATCATTTTTCTCTGTAGCATCTACACAAAATTCACAAAATTTGAGGGTTCCCCCACCTGACAAATCCCACTTTAACCACTGAGTATAAGTGAATATAGAGTATAAGTGAATATACAGTATAAGTGAATATTAGTGAAGTTATCTTTATGAGCACTGTCTCTGTGCTGTGATACGATCGGAAACCAGATTGAAAATTGTCAAAGTATCCATTCAAGCTTAAGAATTTGTTCAGCTGATTGAAGACAACTTTTTCAATGATCTTGTCTTTGTTGAGATCAGTCTATAGTTATAGGTCGGTCTCATCCAGATTGCTCTTTTTCAGGAGGGGCTTGACAACTGCAGTTTTCAGGGAATTTGGAAAACTCCCAGAGAAGTGAGGCATTTACCACTTCTATCTGCCTCTAAGCGGTTTTACACACTTTTGAAAAAAGATATGGGAAGTGTGTCAAGGACGCAGGTTGATGTTTTAAGGTCCTGTATGGTTTCTTCCAAAATTGTGCCTTCAATTTCTTTGAAAACAGACATAGTAACTACTTTCTCAGGTTGTGGTCTGATCTGTTTGACCCCAAAGCAAAGGCAGATGTGTTAGGGTTAGATTAGGGTTGGAGATGAACTGTGCAGGATAGTTGATCAGCAGGAGAAGGGTTGGGCACCCCTGACGTAGACACTCACCTAAAGGATTATTAGGAACACCTGTTCAATTTCTCATTAATGCAATTATCGAATCAACCCATCACATGGCAGTGTTGCTTCAATGCATATCAGTGTCACTGAACACGGATTGATAACAGAACCTAAAGACAATGCTGAATAAAATCGTAGTTTGTTATTTTTGGAACAAAATGCATTTTCGATGCTCACTGATGTCACGTGGACTACTTTGATGGTGTCTCTATTTCCTTTTTGGACAAGGACAGTATACTATGTACATTTTCAATGGAGGGACAGAAATCTCTCAGACTAAATGTGAAATATCTTAAACTGTGTCCCGAAGATGAACGGAGGTCTTACAGGCGTGGAACGACATGAGGGTGAGTCATTAAAGACATTGTGAGTAACTATGGTCATAGACATCATATAGATAGTCCTGTAATCTTAAATCTTACTTGTGAAAAGTAATTCCTGAGCGAGTCTGCTTAGATAGATTTGAGCAGGAATATGCTGCACAGTGCTCTGGCATCTACTGCTGCTATGCAACACAATAGGAATACGACCGGTTCAAGATGGCGGCCGGATTTCTCAGTGCCCAGCAGCCAATAGGAAATCTAGTCTCTATGGTCTATGGCTATGGTTACTTTTGGCAGTGCTAGCGGAAACCAGAGATAATGTGGATATTCAACACATATCCAACGCACATGGCACCCTTTAACGTCTAATGAGACGCTTTGGTTATGGTTAAGTTTAGGTATGGTGTAGGGTTAGGGTTAGACCACTAGGGGGCGCCTTCTGCCCAAATATATCTGCGTCTCATTAGACGTTGGGTGCCATGTGCGTTGGATATTTACGCTTTTGCAAAAGCGTCGTATATGGCGCTTTGGGATGAGAACGGGCTCGGATATTACGTCAGTGACAGCGACAAGTGACAAGGGATGGGCACTTTTTTCAATTGTGAATTTCTCTGAATTTACAAATTCTTGGAAACATTTAGGATCATGTAAGTACACACTTGAAACAAACATATAACACTGCAGCAAGTGGTTTATGTAAGGATTTTTTTATCAAATGTATTTGTATCAATATATCCAATATATTTTTCACACAAAATTCAAATTTCACACACACACATTCATTTATTATTTTGACATATTTTTCTCCATCAAACCTTATGAATTAAAAACTCGTAGAAGTTTGGTTGTAGGAATTAGCATTATGTGTCCCATGTGGGCTGTTGACCAGTTTGATTCAACAATACTACCATCTATAGGTCATTGTAAAACATAACTTTTTTTAATACCCTTTTCAAATCGGAGTTGTGAAAAAACACTGCTGAAGCAGGGGCACTTTAATGTTGACAGCATTTTTAGAGATCAAATACTCAAGAAATGGTGATAATATCTGTAATTTCTTTCCTCTGCAAACAACTACAGGGCCTGTATTCATAAATAATTTAAGAATCCTCTCAGAAACTCTTAATTTAACTTAAAAAAAAAACTTTTATGTAGGAGTCTTAGTTTAAGAGCAATTCAGGACCGATATAACATCTTATTAACTCACTGTCATCCATTGTCTGCAACATATTTCGTCTCCCCCTTTGTCTTGTCTTTTCCCACATATTTTCTTCTCTGCTAAAGAAACTCTTAAGCCTCTTAAAAGTCCTCACCCGTACTCCTAACAATGTTGACCTTAAGACCTCTTTTAAGGGTTAATATACTTTCTGAATTACTTTTTTATTTACTAGGATTTTTTTTCCTTCATTTAATGAGTAAATACCCACATTTCTAAGAATTTTCATTTTCTAAGAATGAATACAGGCCCTGGTTCCTAAATTGGTGTTAATAAATTGCTGACCCTAACTCTGGCTGGCATTGACAACCTATTGAGCTGCCTACCTAGATAGCATTCATATTAGTGGCATGTTTTAGTGGAAAAGCAAACAGTTCAATATTGTAAAACCCAGACAACAAAAATGTTAAGATATATGTAAGTCAATATCTAAACGATATCTGTAGTAGTTGTCTGCACTTGTTAAAACACAAACTGCATGGTCAAATTTCATAAATATTTATTTAATTTCAATGAACAATATTAACTACAGCAGTGGGCTACAGCACTTTTTCAAATAAATGCTATAATAATAATAATATGCTTGAGGCCACATCTGAAACACAAACATTTACAAGTAGTACTTGGCATTAAAAACAATGGCAATACAATATTTTAAGACACTTGGTGTTTTTTATATGCATTTTTGTTTATTTTCCGATATCACAGAGTTTCTGCAACAGTCTAAACAGTTAATATTGATATAGATACAAAACCACTGCGAAAAGAGTTAGGAGAGTGAACAGAGGGAAGGGGAAAGACAACAGTATGCCAAAGGACAAAAAAAAAGAGAAAAATATATTCCATCAGTCTCTAGCTCACTCTATTCCCCTCAAAGAACAACTAAAAGCTAATACATCATATGTAAAACTTATCATTTACAAAAATATTTCCAAGTTTTCCCTTTTTAGTTCAGAATGCTTCTAGTGGTGAGAGGTTCACATTCGGATGAAGAAAGGTTGAGGTGTGTATGGCGTGTGAGGGGGTTGGGGGCATGCATGCATTCAGCTAAGCAGTTTAACACTCCTCCTCTTGTGCTGTTCCTGAGGCTCTTGTGTTCTGGTGTCACTTTGTTGACAATCTTAAACATTTCTGAGTTTGAACTGTAAACAGCAGAATCGGTATTCTCTTATTAAACAGCAATAATATTTTTTTCTGATATTTGTATTGTTCTTCAGTCAAAATATCTAAACATCCTTAAAATGTATGTATGTATATATCATTTTTGCGGAGTAACCCAGAGTCTGAGCTTTAGTCTAAGTGACCCTGGCTTGAATTCCAGGCAGTTTCTTTCAATTTGTACCAAATTCATGAGAAATATAAAGATAATACATCCTATTTCTAAACCATTGATACATCAATTCCCTTATATTTTTGTAGTGGGATTGAAGGGAGGCATGCAGGTGATCCAGAGCCCTTTTCTGTGTACCTGTAAATGCAGATGCTTTTGTTGGCATAGTAAACAGCTGCAAATTTACCAGCTGTGACCAAACTGTGTTCTTTAATGAATTTCGTTGGCTTCTGCCTCATGCAATGTAATTCATGGTTAGTCTGATAGAGGGTGCTAGTGGTTTATGTGTGCAGTAGAAAATGGCACTTGTGGGAGACTCCTGCCGTTTCTGCCAAGGGTTTGCGTGTCAGGGTTTAAAAGCATGGTAAGGGTGAAGGCAGGCTAGACCAGTGGTTCTCAAAGTGTGGGACGGGCCCACCAAGCAGGGGGAAATCAGCAGAAAAAAAACAAAAACAAAAAAAAAACAGCCGTTGCAACAACATTCAAGTGCCTTTATAAAGCGGCATCGAACTGCAATGACACAGATTTCTTTAAAGAATTAAGGGGGCACAACGAAAAAAGTTTGAGAACCACTGGGTTAGACCATAACATTCATATACACAAGAAGTGAGTTTTATTTCTCCATAATACAACAGAACGAGAAAGGTATATCTATTTATATATATATAGATATTTATGTTCATGTGCATCTGGTCCGAGATGCATATATCGTTTTTTATAATCTATAATCACACAATGTACAAATCACAAACATAGAAAACAGTTAAAAACACAAAATAAAGAGTTAAAAAATAAGTGTCATTGTTTTTAGGAGCGTCAATCTTACAATCAGGTCTTCGAGTGAAAAGTTATATTATTTTGTCTTGACTTTAGATTTTGTCTCTAACCTTTCACGCCAAAATTCTTTAAATGTTCTATTTCTGTTCATATGGCTTCAGGTTTGCTACAAAGCTACATATTTGTCCCAAAGCTGATGGAGAATGTGTCTCATCAATCAGACACTAAATCAAACTTTGACTAACTCAGCATCTTGGGGGTTTTGTAACATTTTTGGTCAGTTTTTCTTTGAGCAGAATTCTGAAATGATCGCAGATAATCCCATTTTTTGTTGTATTTCTATATTTCTTTTAGAGTAAACAGGATCTCTCTCTCTCTCTCTCTCTCTCTCTCTCTCTCTCTCTCTCTCTCTCTCTCTCTCTCTCTCTCTCTCACACACACACACACACACACACACACACACACACACACATCCACACATCCACTAGGAGTGAATTTTGACATCACCATACTGTAAACTCATTTTAGTTTAAAGCTCTGGGGATTCATTTGCACACACAAATAAGTAAGCAGACTAAGAAAAACACAAAATTCAATGTAACATGATAAAAAAGAATGATATAAAATAAAGGTTAGAGGATTTGTAAGGTGAGAGGTGCACTGACTAATCCACAGACTGTGATTGTCATCACTTAAGGTCCAAAATATCCTCCTCAAAAGATGTGGATATGGTAAAAGGGCTGGCTGTGGGTGGGCTATCTTCTCGTGGCTCCACCTCAGAGCCAGATGAGCAAATCCTCTGGACGTCAGTTTCTCCCTCTACAGACTCCATTCCCACTCTGATTGGAGATATCTCAGCGTCAATACATTCACTTGTATACTTGCATCTAACAAGCAGAATAAAGCTTATAGCTGCATGTAGCTAAAAAAACGTACAGCTCAATATTTTACAGTTAAGGAAAAACACTTTTATTTAGCAAATATGCATTAAATTGATTAAAAGTGACAGTAAAATATTTCTATTAAATTAATTATGTTCTGTGGAACTTTACATTTATCAAAAAATCCAGGGAAAAATGCATCACAGTTTCCACAAAAATATATGGCAGCACAACTGTTTTTAATAAGAAATAATAAGAAATGTTTCTTAAGAAATCTCCAAATTAGAATGATTTCTAAAAGGAATGATGCAGAAAATTCAGCTTTGCCATCACAGGAATAAATGACATATTCAAATGTTACAACAGAAAAGAGATATGTTAAATTGTAATAATATTACTATTTTTACTTTAGTTTTAATAAAATAAATGCAGCCTTGTTGTGCATAAGAGACGTCTTAACTAACTACATGATTTGTCTCAGAACTGTTCATTTTTGCCATATGGCCATTACTTTGACAAAGTAAAACTCTGATAACGGATAACTTATCTTTTCAAAGCACCTTTTTCGAAAATTGTATATGTATTGTGAAAAGCGCTATACAACTCAAGTAGAACTTTAAACATTAAACAAAATCTTACTGACCCCAAACTTTTTACATGTCAATAAACATTGCTTTAAATAATTAATATAATATTTCAATACATGATTTCAAATTAATTGAATAAATCAATGGAATACTATTTATGTCATGAATATTCAGTATATCTCCCAGCCCCACACAATTAACATACACACACACACTTACTGGTCAGTGGTGCTGATCTCCGCTGTTCTCCTCTGCTCTTCCTCCTTGTTCTTTTTGCTTATTCTTCTCTGTTTCACTGAGTTACCATCTGCCTTACTGCTGGGTTCCTCAGTTAAACCTACAACAGGTAGAGTTTATAGACAAACTCAGACTTCTTTTTTTGCTACTGTATTTTTAAGGTGACATTAAAGATGCACCTGCAGGAGGTGCAATAGCGCTTCTTATAGGCAGCTTAGTCATTTTTGTGTGTGTATGTAGGGTGTGAAGTGTGGCAGCCTAGTGGATCTAGCAGCGTATCTAATGTGTGATCAGGATGTCTCGCTCCAACACTTCATAATGAAAAATGTCCATCTCATCTCAATTTGACTACAGTATGCAAGTATCATTGCAGTTTTTTTTTTATCACATGCAATTAAAACGTTAATAAAATGATACTGAGCTGCACCACTTGGAGCTTTATTGTCCAACCCTAGAAACAGAAATCCAAAGAGAGGCACTTATCCTGTGGCAGATTTCATTCGGTACATTTCATGCCAGCCTCCCACTGCGCCACACATACGTAATGATAGCTTTCAGTTCGAGAGCTCACAAATACATAGACACTCACCCAGCAGTTCTTTCCGTGTGCGGCTGGCGATCTCTTTGATCTCCATGCGAGACAGCGAGAGCGAGGTTGTGCTTGCGATCATGGGAGCGGGGCCGATTACACTTGGGACGGGTGCTGTGAGCACTTTATTAACCAACGGAGACTTGAGGGGCCTCTCTATGCTCCGTCCAACTAGGTTACTCAACGGAATCTTATAGATGTGTTTTGAGGGAGCTTCACCTTGAAGAAAGAAAGGAATGGTTGGAAAGGGGCAGAAACGAAGAGAGGGAAGGCTAAAGAATGAGACGTTAAAATAAATGGTGCAACTACCACAGTGGTCTGCTGTTAGGCACATTAATATCTACTCTGTACAGAATAAAACATAACATGTACACACATCGCCTTGTGTTTAAATCAAAGCTTAAATGAAAACAACTGTTTCATCTACACAAATAGTAAATCTATTTTAAATCTGTATTAGTGGGGTAACTAAAAACAGTTTAATACAATTCAGACAAAGCAGTCTATTGGTAAACACACACTACTTTTGAAATGTTTGGGGTCCGTAAGATTTTTAGTTTTTTACATAAGCCCCTTAAGCTTACCAAGGTTGCATTTATTTGATAGAAAATACAGTAAAAATAGTAATGTAGTAAAATAGTAAAGTAAAATGTAATTTATTCCTGTAATGGAAAAGCATCATTACTCCAGTCTTCAGTGTCACATGATCATTCAGAAATCGTTCTAATATGATGATGATTTGGTGCTCAAGAAACTTTTTATTACATTGAAAGCAACTGCTTAATATTTTTATGGAAACTGCTTTTCACGATTCTTTGATGAATAGAAAGTCCAAAAATGTTTAAATAAAAAAGAATTTAAATAGAAGATTATACATTTATTTACTCATCTTTTGATCAATTTCATGCATCCTTGCTGAATAAAAGTATTAATTTCTTAAAAAACAAAACAAAATCTTACTGACTCGAAACTTTTAAATATATGTATAAACATTTCATTGTCAGAAAAGTCCGATCGGTTACATTATTGATTTTTGTTTTAATGCTGTTGATTAGCATGAAAACAAACAAAAGCACATTTACAATGATAGAAGTAGAAATCTAAAGGGTAAATGTACAGCACCACACTTGAATTTATCCACTAGACTTGAGACTCAAGTTTAAGACTTGACTCTTGACTCAGTCTTGTAAAACAATGACTTGACATCATGTAGACCGCTTAAAGACTTGTTGAGAAAATGAGTGTCTAATTTTTCTGTTCCTCCAAAACTAGGAAAGGCAGGTGTTTAAAAAAGGGAAACCACTTGATCAGTGCTGGCATATTACTGAACAATTTCATGTAAAAGTTGAGTGAGAGCAGGAAATGATGGAATGGCATTAACTGCTAGACCACTGCAACAAAATAGGGTTAAATATATCAATAGTGTCTCAATAAAAAAGAATAAACAAACAAACAACAATAACATATAAAAAAGATAATGAAGAAACAACACAATAAAAATCTAAGGCGCACGACATAAACCTTAAACAAATACTACTTTTGTCTGGGTAAGATGCTTCAATAAGAAATAATACATGCTATTATGCATATGAAGTATGTTGGTGATACCAGTGCACAAGGATGATTGCTATTTTGAATACTGTATGAGTACTGTATTTGTTAATCATGTTAATCATTTTTTAATTTTGGTATGTTTTGGATATTTGTCACATGCACGATCATTTGGAGAAAATAATTCACACATATTTAGTAGCAACAAACAATAATCTTGAAAACTGTAGTCATGTTAGATAAAAGAGCAAGGATCTGGTTAGACATGACGGTGTCCAACCGTATATACAGATTTCCAGACAGGGAAGAATGCTTCCTCTTTAAGTTCATTTAGAATAATTAGAGAGTCATAATCAAACACAGGACTATTTCGTTATGAATCCATGCGTGTGTCTGGAATACATTTAAAGTGCACAGACATCTTTGCTCCATGGGACAGCATGATACATATATATATATATATATATATATATGCATATATATGTATATAGCACAAACATGTTGCATAAGCATTAAATCAGCATATTTAAATGATTTCTGAAGTTTGGCATCACAGGAATAAACTCAATTAAATTATAATACCCTGCTGAGCATAAGAATTTCAAAAACATTACAAAATTACCGAGCTAAAATTTCATAATATATCACAAAAAAAAAAAAAAACATGCAGCAAGAAATGGTAACGCTTTAGTGTTAAATTCACTAAAATTAGCTAATGCATTGGGTACAATGCATTAACAATGACCAGTAATCCACGAATTATGTTAATTTAAAAATATAGTGTTGTTAATTCATGTTTGTTTATAATAGCCTATATTATTGTTGATATTATTGTTGACATTTTTTTTTAAACGTTTAAAGGAGCCGTATGTAAGATTGTGGCCAAAACTGGTACTGCAATCACTTTCAAATTAATGTAGAGCGGCTCAACTTCACTTTTTAAATGACAATATCCTGGTCGGACTACTGTTGTCATTGATATAAGTATTTGAAATGAACATGATTTCTTAATGTCTAGTGACATATCATGGAAAATGTATGATTAATTGAAATAAATTTCTTGCATACACCTCCTTTAAATAGAAATTAACAGATTAATAAATGCATTTTTATTTTTAGTTCATCAAACGAAATGCTAAGAAATTGAACCTTAATATGAAGTGTTACCAAAATATGTAGGCAATAACTATTAATGTGAATATTATGTTGAGATGAGCCATGGTATGCTATCAGTCTATTTCCCATGGTGCAAAAATGGCAGCCACAGACATTGGCTGGATGTTTCAAAACACCAGGATGTGTATTTTGTCACAGCCCCCAATTGACGGCCCTCTTCAGGCCGCGTTTGTAGACAGAAATACTAAGCTCTGGAGGGCCGTCTAGACTCTGTTTGTGTGCATGAAGAGAAGAGGGGCTCTGACAAAAGTATCCATGGTGACGCAGCGATCTGTAGCTCATGCTGCAGCAAATGTGTCCCATTTCCCTAAAGTCTCTATGTATCTGTCTCTTTCTGTCTATTGATTTCCTCTGCCATTTCTCTATCTCATTCACTTCAGTCTTTCCCCCCAAAGACTCCTCATGCCACCATTTCTCTATCTGTCTTTGTTATTCTTTCTGTGAAACAGGCAAGAAGGAAGGGACACATTATGTTAGCTGCACATTTCACTCAACACCGTCTGCATGCGTTTGTTAATTGAATAATAGACAGGGTGAGTCCCCATGGTAACGTGCATTAGTGAGGCAGCATGGGAAATGTAGGCAACGGAAGTGCCTGCAGTACCTTCAGAGTCTTTAGACATGTAGAGGGATAGCTTGGTGCCGTAGGGGATCCGAATACAATCTGGACCAGGGATGGAAAAGAGCAATATATCAACCCAACCCACACACAGATTAAAAGACAAAAGCACCGTAAGACAATTCAGAAAGACAGTTAGACGACTCGCATGTACGTAACTCGCTACCCTATAAGAGCAAAAAAAAAAAAAGCAACATATCATACACTGAATATGCCCAGTATTGCTCTCTCATATCAAATCCTAAACACAAATACCTAAGTTCAATAGCATGGGAATTCAGTTTATTCTAAGGTAAATGGTGTTGCGTCAAGTGCAGAAGCGTACCATCTCCAAGCGGTGAAGGGAAGACTGGCATCTCATAGCCGGTGGGAGTCTGAGGGGAACTCTGGGAACTAGTGTCCCTGGAGCTACAGTTAGAGGCAGAGTTTATAGGTGCTGACGAGATGAAATAGATATCAGACTGCATAAAAAAGAGAGGAAAAAATAACAATATAAAACAGCTCTCACGTGACTGACAGAGGAATGCATTATATAAAAGAGATGACACTCTCATCAATATACTGTATTTTCAGTTAAGAATTTCTCCTTGCACTACTGTTCAAAAGTTTGGGGTCAGTAACGTTTCATAAGTTTATTAATTAAACTGATAAATGACGGTAAAGACTTTTATATTGTTACAAAAAAATCTATTTAAATTAAATTCTGTTCTTTTGAACAAGAAAGAAAATATCACAGTTTCCACCAAATAGTAAGCAGAACAACTTGTTCACGACATTGATAATAATAAACTTGCCATCACAGGAATTAATTACATTTTAAAATATATCAAAACGGAAAACAGTTATTTTAAATAATAATATTAATAAATAAAATTCACTGTATTTTTGATAAAATAAATGCAGCCTTGGTGAGCATGAGTCATTTATAAAAAAAAAAAAAAAAAAAAAAAAAAATTGCACAGACCCAATATGTTTGAACAGTGCTGCATGACGAGTGTAGAGTTATACACCAACAAAAAGTCAAGCCTCATATATCAAATAAATACATAAATCAGATACAGTGGGGTCCAAAATGGTTCAACATCACATTTTTTCACTACTAATTATTTTATCAGACTGAAGTATTTCTTTGTTTTTGTGTTTTTATTCATCCTAGTAAAACTGTTCATTTGGAGGTCTACATCAGATTTTAAATAAGGTCTAAGACTAAACAAATAAGTAAAATGTACTTTTGGACCCCACTGTGTGTACTGTAAACCTGTAGATATTCAGCTGTGTAATGTATTTTGGAAAAAAAAAAAGCCTTATGGATTAAACACTTACTCTGGACGCAGTCAGTTGCAATTCTGGAACGACAGCTGTATATACTAGGTTGCCATTAACAACTAGCCGGATCTCTATGGAGTCGGTGGTGAATGCGAGGATATATGGGAACGCACACACTGTGACACAGGAAGTGAGACAATAGGCTGATATGTCAATTATTTTCACTAATGCAAAAGCAAAAGGAGTGTTTAAATGGAGATAAAGTAGTAATAATAAATAATATCCAAGCACTCGCTGAAATGCATGTCCTAAAGGTACTGACCAATAGCATTGGGCATTTGGTTCCAGCTGAAATGGAAGTCTGAAGAGTTGGGCTGAATCATAGGTGTGGCTCCGTTAAACGGACACACCTTCTTATATACGCAAATATCTGTTAGAAGAGAAGTAAAGCATTAGAGGATTTGACTACACAGATACAATCACTGACATATAAATTGACACTAACTGTTATAGCAAAGAAGAAGTCCAGCCTCTCCATCTTCATACACATCTATGGCAGCAACAAAGTTCACCTTGAAAAAAAGTAAAGTATCCATGTCAATAAATAGACACTACTGTTGCCAAGTAAAAACTAAAAGTGGTTGAACTTACTGTGTAATATAGTGGTGTACAAAACTGATATAGGGAGGGATATTTGGATTGTGTTATAGTGAATGCTCTCTATGAATGTGTACAATAAATCTTTAACGTCACTTTTGATTAATGCGTTCTTGGCTGAATAAAACTATTAATTTCTTCTAAAATCTTACTGAACCTTTTGAATGATAAAGTATGTTGATATTCTCACCCGGTTGGACTCTACATGGTGTAGTCTGTAGGCATCTCCTGTGCTCTCATTGATCAGGTCAAACTGATGTCTGTAGGCCACGCAGATCATGTGGTCATTCTCTCCAGTTGGGCCGTCAACCAGAGCCATGATCACCGGGGAGTCACATAAGCAGATCTCCTAAGACATGTTGAGGACATGTTGAGAGCTTAAAAGTAGCTAAATGTCTGTTAGAATAGGTCCTATGAGCTACAAAGGACAGTAAAATCCAGTTAACTTATGATGAAAATCCGTGTCCTACCCGTATGTATTGGAACTCTTCCACAGGTGAGTCAGTAGCCCCTGTGACAGTAGCGATAGAGCTGAGGCAATCGAGGCGTGACTGTTTCCTGGTGATCAGAAGAAGCTTGTTTCTTATCGCCGCAACGACTCTAAGCTCTACCCCATGATGTGTGTTTATGGAGTAGAGATGGCAACCTGAGGAAACACAATTCTGTTCATTTCAAATGCATGCAATGTGTATTCCTGATTTTCACAACCTTGGATTTCATGTGTCATGTCACTTTGTATTGCGCACACAAGCCTCACAACTGAGCAAATATTGAACATATACATTTAAACATTGAACATATATACTTAAATGTATTATGCGAGTAACATGTCTGTGTGGAAGCCCAGGAATAGTACTGTATTTATCAGTTCTCTATTTCAGGTACTGAATGTCCTTCAATTTACACTGTAATGACGCTTGCAAACTAACACTGTGCTGTGGATCAGTCAGAACTAAACTAGGTGTTTTCTTATGCTGAGAGATAAGCAGATGTGTGTGAGAAAATATAATATATTGATTAATTAAAAGAAATGACACAGTGGTTCCTATTCTCTGTTTTTATTTGAGCTCCACAAGATGAGGCATGTTACACCTAAAAATATTCTCTTGCCATTTACTGTCACTGAGAGGAACTATTTAGTAGAAGCGTTGCATCGCGTCGTGTCTTAAGACGCACTTCAGCCATGATTTATTCACAATACAGCATGGCCTCTAGAGGATCGAGATCTCATACCTTATTGCTTGCATATGAAGAGTTCAGATGCAAAAGCCTCTAATTGCCATTTGAAATTATCTTCTTTATTGATGATTTTTATCAAACTTGTATATTTAAGTTCAGTGATTTCACTTAAATAACAATTAATAGGTAATCATCATTGCCATTTAAGTGAAATCACTGAGCTTAAATATACAAGTTTGATAAAAAATGATCATTCTAGAAGAAAATTTCAAATGGCACTTAGAGGCTTTTGCATCTGAACTCTTCAAATATACTATATAGACAAGTATTTCGCACCTTTGGTTTTCTCAAGCTTGTTCTCCCGACTGTCATACTTGGTACGGACAAGCTGCCTCTCCTCTATCCCTCGTTTGAGAGTACTCAGTCTGTAAACATACAGTCGAGCGTCTTTCCCTGCAACAGAGTTTAAATTGGACATAAAATAAATGAAATTAAACCAAATTTCAAGCACTCTTATACATTCCTGGTACAGTTATTCAAATGAGCTTGACTACTTCAAATGTTTAGTGAATTGTACAAATGAAGCTTTCAGTACCATTAATATATTATAATAGCCTGACAACAAAAGAGAGACCCGTCTCATCAAACTGAATGACGTCTCAGCTAATGCAACGTGTTTGGATTTCAAATGCCTGTCATAGTGAATGAAAGTTGCTTGGTGCCGGAGTTGATAACGGATTCATTATTTTTCCCTCTGCAGAAGCTGTGCTTCCCAATAAGTGTGAGACCTTGCTGTACACTGTCTTGAACTAATGATCAGAAGATGATGGTTGAGACTAAATTACATGCATCTCTACTCTTGGTTCTTTTTATAATGAGCTAGAAGTCTAGACAATGTGAACCAAAAATAATGCCCTTATGTGTGTGCGTGTTTGAATACGAACCGTATTTTGTGCTATTCCCAGCTGGATAAAGATGTTCATTAGAGCAAAGGACCAAGAGATTCCTTTACCACTTTGCTTTGGTCTCTCTTTTTTGGCAGATTGTTCCATACCCTTTTTTCTACCCACATAAGAATTGTGCCATATTTATTGCTCATATAAATATAAAAACAAACACATATCTTACCCTTGTCTGCTCTTGCAACGAGGAGGTCCTGAGGTTCAAGAACGTGCAATTGTTTGACTGTCAAGGTCTTGTCAAATACCTGCACCGGAGGCAGGGTTGGTGAATCTAGACCAGCATGCAAAGAAAGATTCTGTTCAATCTCCCAATGAGATTCACTTGCTTTGATTAACAGACACGTTTGTTAACTGTCACTGCAAAATTGTACCGGGAACATGTATAAATACTTTGTAATATTTATAAGCATTTACTGTATATCCACTGTAGTGTTCTGGGCATGCTATACATACCTGCATTGGAGAACAGTGGATCTGAGGCTAAAAGGGAGGACAGATTTGATCAGATTCAGCAAGTTAAATGAAAGTGCCATCTGCAACATACAGTACAAACACTACAGTTCAAAGTTTTGGGGTTAGTAAGATTTTTTTAAAAAAAAGAAATTAATACGTTTCACATGCATACTTTTATTCAAAGAGATGGCTCACCTAAAAAGAAATAAATCTGTCAAAATATTTTCACCTTCATGTTCTAACCTTTTGCGATTTTCTTTCTTCCATTGACCACAACAGGAAATGTTTAGCATATTTATAATTATAATTATATATACTTAAAATTATTAGCAGTGTCATATTTAGTTTATTGTCCCATTTCCTAAGTTTTGAAGTCATGATTTTGGTTCTGTTCCTTGTCCAGTATTTTCTTGTGTTTATTTATACAAGCTGTTACGCTGCCTTTATTTACTCCTGTGATTCCTAGAAAATTTAGTTTCATTCGAAAAATGGACTGTAGCTATGGTCTTCTTCTGCTCATCCTTGCCAAGTACGTCACAGAATACCAGGCCCTCAAATTAAGTATAGTGAAGTGATGCGGAGGACGTTGGTGAAGTACTTGGGGTGGGTACATCTCACCATCTGTGAGCCAGAAGAGAAGTCCATCAATGTCACACATCATGAGCCCAAACCTGACACCTGGGTCGTCCCAGAGTTGAACAGCATTGCCCAGTCCATCACAGAACCAGGAGCGGACCATGCCTAATAGACCTGTGGTCTGCGGATCCAGTTCCCTCCCAAGTCCTCTTTGCCGGTCGAGTTTGGCTGTCTAGATGCTCCGGTTCCATCCTTCCTCCTTCCTCCTTCCTCCTCTGATGTTCCCACCTAACTTCCTGGTCCCAACTTCTCTTCCTGCTCCTTGGCTCTGCCCCTGCCGCTAACTCTGTGCAGCTCTTTGGCTCCATCTTGTGAGTTCCGATCACCAGCTCGTCATGAGGATAAGTCCCCATCTCCACCTTGAACTTGTTCTCTCATCTCCGCCGTGGTCCGTCAGCCCTAAGACTCCTCCTTGTCTCTATGGGTCAGCTTCAATAAGTCATCGCTCTGCCTTCGCCACGGACTTCAAAGTGTAAGATTGGGCCTCGACCCTCCACCCCTTCGGCTACACCGGGCTTCCCTCCTTCGATGCCCCGGTCTGCTGAGACGCCGTCTCCGCCTCGTTCCTGCGATCCAGCAGCTCCAACTTGGAACCAACTCGGTAACCAACTCTCATTTTGTTTCCCTTAGTTCTCGTTTCCCTGCTCTGTTTAGTTTCGGTTTCCTTAGTTTCTGATTTTACTTGGTTCCCACTTTACTATAGCCCTGAAATCTTTGCATCTTGCGACCAATGACATTTGGCATCACTTAAATGAAAGCTAAAGCACCCATGGTTTGATTGTTTGTCATCCCTGCTTGCTGTTCCCTTTTATTCTATGGAAAAAGCAGCATCAACTTTTCCTTTTGTGTTCAACAGAATACATTATAAATTTTTTTCTGAATTTATTTATTTTTTCTTTAAAGCTGCAGTCTGGGGGTTTTTCCTCTTTGTCGCCATCTCTGTTCGAAATCTGCAATCTGCAATGCAGTCATTCGCGGAATTATCAACTTTACATGAGTTGTACTTCAACACCCTTGACACGGCACAGTGTGGATGAACACAATGGTTGGAGCCATCCGTACTACCTTATTTAATGTCTATAAATGTGTTCATTTAAATATCAGGTTGTTGTGTACTGTTAATTGTGTTTATTTCTCAAAGTGTGTGCCCTCTAAAGGTGACAGCGGAAAAGTTGTATAAAGGTTAGACCACCCCTGACAGGAGAGGGCGCTGGTGCAAGAGCACACATTCTTTTGACTGTGCACATGGAGCTAGGGTGGCATGGTGCAATAAACCTGCAAGCGGCCTAAAAGTTGTTTGTTTTGTTCTAGTTACAATGCATCTTTATTTTTCAGTTAATAAACTTCAGTTATTTGTTTGGAACATCAACACGCCTCTCTGGATCTATTCATGGTACTTCTGCATGTGTTAGAATCATAACATCAGCATCTCCCACAATGGACAAGAAACAAGGATTAAAAATAGGAAACTTCTTTTACCTCTACAGTTACAGGCAATCTGTCTTTACATGTCATTTTTAAGAAAACCGCTACTCTGTCCAGCTGTGTTATTTCTCATGAAAAAGCATTCTCACCCTCCAGCAGCATGACCCCTGCTGAATCTGTGGCGACCAGTAATGACTGTCCCCATGAGTCTCCACAGACTATTTCATATGGGAAGCTGCTGCAGAACGACTGTGACTCCCATGGCTGCAGAAAACATAGGAACACACTGTTAGAGATGTAGAGACCGTATGCAAAATAACAGCATCCCTCACTTTTTCCCCTTGCCCCTCACCTCTTTCCTGCAAAGGCCAGTAGTGACTAGACTGGTGGGTGCATCACCTCTAACTATAGTTTTCAGCTTCAGGGCCTGGACACAATATTATATTTATTAATAACATTCATCGTATTGTAACGTTCTCTTTCATTCCTATGTGGAATGTCATATTCGCATAGATGTATACATCATACCTGTCCCACCCGTACAAACTCGGCCTGACGTGCCTCCTCTTTTTTACGGGCCGATTTGGGCGACTCTGGCAGTACATCACTGAATGAGCGTCGGTTCAGCATGTTCTGCGGAGAGAAGGGAACCTACGGGAGTGGTAGAGGTGAATATGGGTCTGAGAGACTGACCCAGAAACAGTCAGAAAGAGAGAGCAAAGCAGAGACTAACAATTCTTACACCATGTGTATTATCAGTCGTAAAACTGTACATTGGGTTTGGAATCATAAGAAAATAATGACGGTTCACAGTCTGATTCCAACAGAACACAACAAGAAGATTTTATTGTCTTCGTATTGTTTTGCTGCAGGTCTTTTTTTTTTCTCACTAAATATTCCCTGACATGAAATTTTCATTTTCTGAGGTTTTTTAACATTAATATGAGTTCCTCTAGCCTGTATATGGTCCCCCAGTGGCTAGAAAGTTCAATAAGCCAAAGCTCGGTTATCTTTCTCTGCCTTTGAGGAATTGAAAGCTTAGACGAGCTGATCTTGAATCTCCTCCGTATGACGTCATACGGTGGAAAGGTAACCTCCCCTTTCTGTGCTTTGCCCGCCCAGAGAATTTGGTTCTCCAATGAGAAAATGAGCTAGGAAGTACAAACACGATTTGTGTTTTTTCTCAAGAGATATAATGGCTTGCAAGTGAGCATTTTTCAAAAACCCTTGTAATCGGGCAGGAATAGACAACAATATGAAGACAGTATCCAGCTCTAGGACTAGCTGACAGGGTGTTGCAATAGAATGAAAGTACATGACAGCTGTGTTTATTTCTGCTGTGTTTAGCTATGTTTAGGTGGTTTGAAAGAGTTGTATTTATGAATAGAAGATAATTGTGAGAAGAAACGTATATGGCAGGAAATGGAAGTGAGATAATAGCTTGAGGGTAAATGTAGAGCAACACAGGAAAGTATTGTGCTAGATCAGTGGTTCTCAACCTTTTTTGACTCCAAGGCTCCTCATTGTCCACACAAATATTTAGTGACCCCATGACTTTTCAATTTTTTTTTTTTTTTTTTTTTTTTGTGATATACTGGTTAAGGATTTTTAAATATATATTTCAGGTCAATATTTTAGAACGTAGCATAACTAGAAAAATGATTAAAATAAGAGATATTTAGATGTTTAGTTCTTATCTTATCTTAAATAATTTCAAATCAACTTGAGGCCCCCTAATACACCCTTGGCCCCTTGGTTGAGAACACTGTTACACTGTTCTAGATTATGTGTCCATACCTTGTGCATGTCAGGCATGAGATCCTGGTACAGGGATCTGATCAGCATGTCCAGCGTACGCTGACGTTTCTGAGCAAAAGTGGGGGTCTCAAGAGTGGCTTTTTCTCCATTTATTACTACAGGAGACAGAAGGATGAAGGTAATAGTTTTATGTAACAGAATCACCCTTAGGAAAAACAGCATGACACAAGGTCTGCATAATGACAGAATCTGCTTTAACGAACTTCATGAGCCAAATCAAATCATTAAAGCTGACAACAGGTGATCTGTGTACTGAATTGGATTTAGAATGAATTTAAATTCCGCAATATCTATTTTTGACTGAAACAGGACATTCAGTAAGAATAAGAAACCCATTTAGTGGGATGGGATTTCATTCAGTTCTGGATAGGGAATTTCAATCAGTATTAATAGGCTTTAATATTGCTTGTATTTTTTGGTTACATCATTGTTGTTTCAGAGGCAAGTTGTTACATTTTGATGAATGACTATGAAAACGACTGATTTCATGCAGTCTGTAAAATGATTATGTACTGGTGAGTTTACTAACATTTAACTAGTAGAAAGTCCCTGAACTCCTGGTGATCTGTGAACACTGGAGGGGAAGGGAGGGGTGGGCCAAATAACGGCACACTCTCCTCTGAGAAAATCTTCAACCTGCAACATAAAATGATTAAGATACAAATATACACTACCATTTGGGGTCAGAAAGGATTCAAAAATGTTTTTGAAAAAGCATTTATTTGATAAAAAAAAACAAACTGTAAAAGCAGAAAAAAGATCTTTCACAAAACATTCTAATATGCTAATCTGGTGCTCAAGAAACATTTATTATTATTATAAATGTTGAATGTATGATAAATGTGAAAACCATGATAAAAAAAGTTGGTGCTATGATGAATGGAAAGTTCAAAATAACAGCATTTATTTGAATAATATATAATAATTGTCTTTACTCTGTCACTTCAATCTTGCCGAATAAAAGTACTAATATATTTTTTCAATCTTACTGACCTTACTGACTTTTGAATGGTAGTGTATATACAATATAATAGTATTTAATATATTATTCAAATAAAATGTAATAAATATAATAAACCTTCAAACACATACATACCTGTAACTATCATTCTGGCTATTATATCTAACTAAGGCAAAAATATCTGTGGGATACGTAAAGGAAATCATCTATAAAATAGCTTCACATGCATAACTACAAATGTACACAAAAATCTAAAATAATTAAGACCCCCCCATAAAAACAAGTCACCCATAAAAAGCCTAATCACTGCCACTTAATGACTTATTTCAGCAGTTTCACTCAGTTTGAGAATGAAGGATACGTGTAAAATGGGAGCGAATCATCGAGGGTTTAAAGGATGGAGAGGCGTCATCTCCCTCCTGAAACACGATGGTCACAATGTCGTTCCCTATGTGTCTCTTCCTCTCTACCTGCACAGAGCAAAATAATTAAAGCTATAATCATACATGCACGAAGTACACTTCAAAAAAGCATCAACTTTTATCTTTCCAGTATTAAATGAAAACATATATATCATTGTACATTCCTAAGTGGGTGTTTGTTGTGTTTGGTCTGTGTGCGCATGTTTGGACATCCCTAATGCCCTCTGACACCTCACGCCCGTTAGCCAGGAAGCATAATTGTGCTTGTTAATGAGTCTGGACCATTATGCTTGAAAAGGAGCTTTTATCTTGTCTCAAGAGCACGTACGCGTGCACGCACACGCACAAACACTCAATTACTACAGTACAAACACACACCCTTTTGAAGCTCAAATGCTACATGGCTCTTTTTCACCTTCCCCTCTCTGCCAGTATCAATCTAATTTTCTCTCTCACACAGAAAAACACACGCATCCAGACACAGATACACGCGCTTGACCACGAGCTGTGACAGGAATAAGTATTTACTTATTGTGGTGACAGACTAATTTCCACTGAGAGCTTAATTATGATTCTCTGCCACATCCCCTCCCTGTCACACAGAACATCCTTCCAGTGTGACATGCAGAACACTTGAACAATACCAACAGGCTTTCATGACACCTGACTCAGCGGCTAAACATAGTCAAACATGGTTAAGCCCTCTAGGATTATTTAAATGGGATAGTTCAACGAAAATGTTCAATTAGGTCTTTATTACATGTTTTTCCAAACCCATATGTTGTTAATTCCACCTTTAGAACAGAGTAGGATACTTTTTGAAGAAACTTCTCCATACAACAGTTCATATTGATTATATCGTTCATGCAATCCCTATTAACTGTCCTTGTTGGAAAATAGCTATGCTTCTTTAATATCGTTCTTCATGTTCCACAGAAGAAAGAAAGTAATTCAGGTTAGAATGACATGAGGGAAAAGATAACAGAATTTTCATTTTTGGGTAAAGAACCGTTTTTTTTTATAATGTACATTGTAAAACTGTGATGCCTAAATTGCAGCTTTTGATATCACTTTTTAGTGTTTTATTTTAAATTTATTTAGACAAAGTAGTATAAACGTTTATTATCAGCCATAACATGAAAATAATTATGAGAGTATCATTTTCAGCCCATCTTCCAGCATTCATTAACCAGTCCTCTCTGAATAGGACTATAGAGAGACCAAACACCATAGAAAAAAACAACACATCCATGTAAAACTACAAATAGAATGAGATAAAGACAAATAAGAGCAGAACAAATACACAGAGAAGAGGAAATGAAAGAGAAATTTGAATGATAGAAAGAAGGGAGCTGTGTGTGTTTGAAGGAGGCAGAAAGGAGCCAGTCTGTAGCTCAGTAGGTGGTGAGGGGAAAACAGGCTATATTTAACATCCAAAAGCGCTGGACATCACAGCGGTCAGTCTCTCCCTCTCTTTTTTCTGTTGCCCCCTCCCCCTCAACTCCATATCCTGATTACATCAAACGTCAATCACTTCACTCTCTCTCAATTCATATCCCTCTCTACTCTTGATTATATCATCACACCATAATCCCTTTCTCTCACTCACGTTCTCCCTCCGTTTCTCACTTTTTCTTTTTCACTCTATCAGATCATATGATTGAGTACAAGTAGAGCTCTTGTGCACTGGAGTGCCTTTGGAAGCATTCACAATAGCAGGATTTTCAAAGTATTTGTGTCGGTTCAAGGTTTTGAGAGTCTCTTTAGCCCTCCATGTCAATAACCACCTTTACCAATGCTGAACCGCTTATGAGAAGAGCAGAAGCTCATATACACCAAAAGTCTCTTGCTGACCCTAAAAGCATGTAGACACACCGAACTGGTGAAACACTTGAATCGAAGGAATCAAGTACTGTTCACAAGGGAGAGTGTGTTTTTTTCTTGTAAGAAAATTGGTATTTTGAGACATGCTAAGATTTTATTTGACAGTGTTTTTAATTAGTGTTGTTACCTTTTAAGTAAACTTTAAATGATGACAAAGGTAATCAAAAACTAAAAATGGTACATTAATGATACAGATAATGAGCATGAACAATTAAACATTCAGTATTGGCTTTTACAGTATTCAATACTGACCAATGTACACTACCGTTCAAAAGTTTGGGGTCAGTACGATTAAAAAAAGTTAAAAAAAGAGAAATTAATACTTTAATTCAACAAAGACACATTAAATTATTCAACAGTACACTGTAAAAAATATTTTCAAGATTTGTTTTCACAGCATTTTTTCTTTTATCAAATCAACTTCAATAATCTATTTAGTTGAGATAACTTATTATTTTGAGTTTCTGATGATTAAATTAATCTCCTTCATTGTATTAACTCACTTTTTCCAGTTCAATCAACTTAAAAAAGTAAGTAACCTGGTTGCCTTAAAATTTTAAGTTAAAACAACAATATTTTTTACAGTGTAGGTATACAAGGACTTCCAATGATTTACATTACATTTAAAAAAGTCATTTTAAATTGTAATATTTCACAATTATAATGTTATTACTGTATTCCGTGTCATATAAATATAGTCTTGGTGAGCATACGAGACTTCTTTCAAACACATTAAAAAAAATGTACAGACCCCAAACTTTTGAAAAGCAGTTTACATTAGAATAACCATCAGTATCGGCCAGTAACCAATTTAGGTAATTGTGTACAACTTACCTGTTGCTTGTTCTCTTTAGAATAAGGTAACATGGTGGAAACATGGAACATGAGCTCATGACCCTGATAGACTGTGTAGATGGAATTCATTCCTGTAGTGTCATCTAAACAGACGAGAGAGAACGAATAAGTAAAATACAGTTAAAAGGTAAAAAAAAAAAAATCCCTCTGTTGATTTGTAAACGCATGTATGTGTATTTGTCCTACTTTTAGTGTCCAGTCCTCCTCGATACCCTGCCCAGCCCTGCAGACAGATTGTGTCGCCAAGGAGATTCAGAAATTTGTCAAAGGTCTCACTTCCTGTTTCTGAAAAAAAGTACAAAAACATAGAAAATCAACTTGATTGTAAAGTAATAATAGATATCAAGTGTGAGCCACCTTATTCTGTTCACAGATATTATAAAACCAGTGTGAATTGTAATTAATTGCATTGTAGTTCCGTAATATGATGTATTTCTAAGCGAAACAGAATATTATTTTATTTGGTTACACATATATATTTAGTATTACAAGTATGTTATATGTTCTGTGCTAAAAAAAACATGTTCAGTCTGTATTCATCTATTATAATGGCTGTGCAGCTCTTATGTTGGTCATTGATTTGAATGTGAGGAGGTGTGGTTTAATCTGAGTTTGCGCAAGAGCAGGCATATTTTCCGTTCGGATCCTTAGGGAAAGTGGAGGTCCTACAATCTTACCTGTAAAGCATTAAAATAAGATAGATTAAAATCTCTTTCTGTATGCATTCACGTTGTGAACTGCAGAATAGAATATTTGTGCTGTTTATTTTCAGTGGATTGAGTTTCCATAGTGCCCATTCATTATATGACATTACATTCATTATATTATTATGGTGTCACTTATTCACTGTTTAGCTTGATGTACGGCTGCTACATTATATTTCATGTTATATGAGAGTGTGGTTACCTGATTGTGTGAAATATTATGTTAATAGTGGCAAATATCATTAGCCATTATAGAGCTGTAATGTCGCGGCGGTTCAATCCGGGTGTTTGCTCTGAGGTTCAGTTGGTGTGTTTGTAGGCGTGGGGTTTGTGGGTGTGTACTGCCTATTTGTTGCTTATCACCAGCTGATCACTCGATCAGCCTTCAGCTCATCACTAATGCTTGTTAGCTGTCTTTATAGAGCTGGAGTTGATTGTGCTTCGTCAGTCTTGTTTGTCTCTCACACAGTTCCTGTGTCCAAGTTTTCGTTGCGGAGTTTTGCGTCATGTAATCTCTCAGCATTTCTGCCGTGTTAATTGCAGACCTATATACCATTTTGCAAGATGGAAACAAAACTGGTCCAGAAGCACTTCCTGTTTCAGTTTTTTAACACTACATAAAAGCTGGGATAAAATACAACCAACAGAAAATATAAAACTGAATCAAAAAGTTAAACAAACATCTTTAAGATTTTTTCTTTGCATGTGAAATACAACCCGAATTCCAGAAAAGTTGGGACGTTTTTTAAATTTGAATAAAATGAAAACTATACGACTTTCAAATCACATGAGCAAATATTTTATTCACAATAGAACATATATAATATAACAAATGTTTAAATGGAGAAATTTTACACTTTAGTCCACTAAATGAGCTCATTTCAAATTTGATGCCTGCTACAGGTCTCAAAATAGTTGGGACGGGGACAACAAATGGTTGAAAAAGCAAGAAATTTAGAAAGGATTCAGGTGGGAGAACATCTATAGCAACTAATTAAGTTGATATCAGGTCTGTAACATGATTAAAGGGATGTCTTAGAGAGGTAGAGTCTCTCAGAAGTAAAGATGGGCAGAGGCTCTCCAATCTGTGAAAGAGTGCGTAAAAAGATTGTGGAACACTTTAAAAACAGTGTTCCTCAACATCAAATTGCAAAGGCTTTGCAAATCTCATCATCTACAGTGCACAACATCATCAAAAGATTCAGAGAAACTGGAGAAATCTCTGTGCGTAAGGGACAAAGGCGAAGACCTTTATTGGATGCCCGTGGTCTTCGGGCCCTCAGACTACACTGCATCACTCATCGGCATGATTGTGTGAATGATATTACTAAATAGGCCCAGGAATACTTCCAGAAACCACTGTCGGTAAACACAATCCGCCGTGCCATCTCCAGATGCCAACTAAAGCTCTATCATGCAAAAAGGAAGCCATATGTGAACATGGTCCAGAAGCGCCGTCGTGTCCTGTGGGCCAAGGCTCATTTAAAATGGACTATTTCAAAGTGGAAAAGTATTCTATGGTCAAACGAGTCCAAATTTGACATTTTTGTTGGAAATCACGGACGCCGTGTCCTCCGGACAAAAGAAGAGGGAGACCTTCCATCGTGTTATCAGCGTTCAGTTCAAAAGCCAGCATCTCTGATGGTATGGGGGTGCATAAGTGCATACGGTATGGGCAGCTTGCATGTTTTGGGAGGCACTATGAATGCTGAAAGCTATATAAAGGTTTTAGAGCAACATATGCTCCCCTCCAGACAACGTCTATTTCAGGGAAGGCCTTGTGTATTTCAGCAGGACAATGCAAAACCATATACTGCAGATATTACAACAGCATGGCTTCGTCGTAGAAGAGTCCGGGTTCTGAATTGGCCTTGCCTGCAGTCCAGATCTTTCACCTATAGAGAACATTTGGCGCATCATTAAACGAAAAATGCGTCAAAGGCGACCACGAACACTTCAGCAGCTGGAAACCTATATAAGGCAAGAATGGGACCAAATTCCAACACCAAAACTCCAGACACTCATAAACTCGATGCCCAGACGTCTTCATACTGTTTTGAAAAGAAGAGGAGATGTTGCACCATGGTAAACGTGTCCCCGTCCCAACTATTTTGAGACATGTAGCAGGCATCAAATTTGAAATGAGCTCATTTAGTGGATAAAAGTGTACAATTTCTCCGTTTAAACATTTGTTATGTTATCTATGTTCTATTGTGAATAAAATATTGGCTCATGTGATTTGAAAGTCGTATAGTTTTAATTTTATTCAAATTTAAAAAACGTCCCAACTTTTCTGGAATTCGGGTTGTAAAGAAAACAGTTACAAACTGAAACAGGAAGTGTTTCTGGACCACTGTTGTTTACATCTTGCAAAATGGTCTATACAGTTTTATGTTACTGATTAAGTTATTTGTTTATTGTAGAACCAAATTTGAGAGTCATACATTTGCGAGATAAATACTCTCATAGTCATAGTAATACACATCCTAGATTATACACCAGCATTTATTATTGCAGAGGATTCATCATACATCAGGGCCTGAGACTGCAGCTCGATGACCAACTTCACAAAGTTATTTGGACATCTGAACATCATAAAGAACTGTAGAGACTAACACAGCCTAATCACAAAACAACCTAACATCTGTATCCTTGAAATCCCAATCTGTTGAAATGATTACTTGTTTATTTTGCACAGGCCTACGCTCTTTATATGTATATTTTCTTTGCATTTGTATAATTCTTTGACGGTGAACATGTACACAGTGTATTTGATTATTGTTATTCAACATTCTTAAGTGTAAACTAGTACAATTTAGTACTACTGCTTGCTCTTCATTACTTTTGTGGTCATTGGACATCAAAATGTGGTAATCGACCCTCTGAAACAGTTGGCATCGTAATAGTAATTAGTGCAATGCATTTCCTTTTGTTCACTCACCGTTGCTGAACATTTCATCATCTGTCAACTGTCCATCTTTGGCATAAAGAACACCAAATTTAAAGTTTACGCTGCCCTGTAAGAACAAACAAACACATATGAGGAGCATTCAGGGGGAATTCACAAAGAAATTGATTTAGAAAGGTCATTTATTTGCATTGCATTCTTAAATCAAACATACACACATTTGACAGTACAAACCTCTTGTTCCTCCAGCACCAGTAAGTCCTGCCAACAATAAATAAACAGTTTAGCTCAAATCATTATATCCCAATACAATAAAACAATCAGTTACCATCAAGGTTACATTTCTAAACACCAGTTAGGAGCACTAATAGTGTGAGTTATACAAACATTACAGAGCATGTCCATGCATTCAAGTATCTGAATGCCACTGACAAAGGCCTTTGATTAGCGGCACACATTTCCACAAAAGCCAAGCTCTCTGGAGCAATGGCAGCTCAGACAGTGTCTGCGTTTGAATCCTAAAGTAATTATGAAGCAGAACAACAAACCAGAGCAAAAATAGACGGTAATTAACAGAGCAGAGGACATGTAATGTTGATTGATAGGTGTGGGTGGGCACCTTCTGAATCTCTGGATTAAGGATCTCCCTCGGGCCCTTTTCGAAACGATCCACATTCATGGCACTGGTGGATGAAAGGGTCAAGAGGGGCGAATTGATGTGTTTTCATTTATTTTGCTCAAATTAAATCTTTGCATTTGCAAATAGGGTGCATTACAGACAGACTTACCTTAATATAGATTTGACTGATAGTGTTTTTGTTGGACTGTATGGAAGGCTGATTTTTAGAGTACCCTGAAAGAGATGAACATATTTCCCAAATTATACAAATCTAGAGCGAAATGTGACATGGCACAACAAGACAGCAAGCCAGTAATGCTGGAGTTTTATAACTGAGACCTGTTGTTCATAGGAAGGTGATATTTAATACCATGTCACTGTGCATTTAGGGTTTTTAGGCATTAAGTCTTCACATACCGGCCTTTGAGACAACGGAACAAAACGCTGTAGTCACTTTGACGATGAGGTCAATCTGTTATGCGAGCCAATGCTCAGAGCAAAAGTGACGCACGCATGACTCACCGTCTTGCGCCAGAGGATGGCTCGGTATTGTGGGATCCTCTGGTTGTTCTGGTCCGACAGAACCACAGACAGGAAGAAAGGGTTCTTCTCCGCATCCGTCCCCACATAGTTCTGGTGAACTATGGAAAGAAGGGACAGAAAATTAAAAAAAAAAGAATAGTAATTTATATTCCTGTGATGGCAAATCTAAATTTCCAGCAGCCATTGCTCCAGTCTTCATATTAGAAATCATTCTGACTTGCTACTCAAGAAACATTTCTTATAGAGAGTTCAAAAGAACAGCATTTATTCGATTTTTTTGGTCCAACTTTATACTAAGTGACTTTAAGTACTATGTAGGCTACTTACATTGAAAAATAAGTATAATGTACTTATTGTGCTCATGTTGTATTGTAAAACACTTTTGCTGCTGTTGAGGGTAAAGTTAGGGAAAGGTGTTGTGGTATGGGTAGGTTTAAGGGTAGGTTAAAGTGTAAGGGATGGGTCAGCTGTGTAATTACAGATGTAATTAATTACATAAAATAGTTACAGCTGTAATTACATGCTGGTATTTTTAAAATATAAGTACAATGTAAAAACATGTTTGTGCACAATAAGTGCATTGTATCAAATTATTCGTTTCAATGTAGGTACATAGTACTTAAGCCACATAATATAAAGTGGGACCTTTTTGTTTACGGACACTTGTGATCAATTTAATGCATCCTTGCTGTGTCATAGATTGCTTGTGTAATGTAAAATGAACAAAGATATACTACTTTTATTAAACATGAAGAGAACTCAAACAAAACAATCAATAAACATTAACACAAGACAATGAACCGAAGAAGACAGAAGGCTTAAATACACAGAGGATGATGATTAACAGAACAGGGAACAGGTGTGGACTAATTAGAAACAATGACAACGAACGAATGACTAGAATTCAGGCAAACCAGAAAATGCCTGTCTCAATCAGTTCCCTAGTATGTAAATCATATCAGTAAATCGTGTAAATGAATCCGGCCAATGGTAAGACCCATTCACTACACATTGGGGCAGTGATTATGACATGACTACGTACAACGTCAACGTACAACATTGTAGAATGTTACTGCTGGTATTAACCAACTACAGGCATGATAAAAATGACGGCATAATTTTTTTTTATGCTGTTTAAGCACATTGTTCTGTTACATATCCTTACAACATTTTAACTGAATATTAAAGCTAGGGTATACGATTTCAAAGATTGTTCATTATTAATATCCTCGTTTAGATGCTGGTTATGGTTATATAGTACAATCCTAACAATATGAATAGAAAAAAGAACGAAAAAAATCCATTCACTCTATTGGCTGTACAGCCGCAGAAAAGTTGACCAATGTAAGCTGTGCGGCCGCACAGCTTATATTGGTCAACTGCTCTCATCCAATCACCAGCTCCACTTGAAACTCCGCCTGGCGCTCACGTCTCCAACCCAACCGCACCCGCCCCCGCCCCCCTCCGTGCGTGAGCAAACAGCTGACAGACTGTCTATGGTAGCTAGCTAGTAGCGTCAGATCAGCAATGGATAAAGCAATGGATAAAAATATAAACGACAACAGCAAGCGGCCCCTGCTTGCCTCTACTGTAAAGTTTGGACGAAAGAGAAAGTCTGTGGAGGAAAGATCAGAGATTAAAAAGAAATGTGACGAACGCCGGACTCTAAGTAGGATAAATATAGCGTCCTTCATTGACCATTGGAGAAAGCTTCAGGGAGATCTGGGGCTGAAAACGACGCTGACACGGATGACTTTTTCTTGAGCAGGTAAACATTTATTTATTCTTTTATGGTGTGACGTGTTACGTGGCTTTTTATCAGTTTGACAACTTGCTCATGCTGCCGGTCGGCATTGGAATGTTAGCCGTTTAGCATCGCCGATCGCGGTTCAAAGTAATTATATTTCTTGTTCGAGGTTTCTGTTCGAGCCGATCGGAATTTGAACAAGATGCGCTGCGTGCTGCAATAACAATTACTGAAAACCTTAGCAATACTAGTAGTATTATAATGGTGGTGGGGAGTTTAGAACATTTCATGTGTTGCTAATCTTGCGTTGACGTGAACTCAAACGTGACATACGTCAGGGATCAGGTAGCGCAGAGGGGAGGGGGGTGTGTGTGGAGGGGCGGGATGAGTTTTTTAAAACTTCCCTACCGTCTCGACCGATTTTTAACATCGTATACCATAGCTTTAATTTTAAATTTTAACTAGATGTGTTCACTACCTTGTCTTTTCAAATCGAGTTGGCTCGTGCATTTTTTATTTTGTGCTTCAGAAATGTGACAATGATTTTAACAAATTATTACAATTAACATGTTAAGACCAATGCATATGCAGTTGGTTTTTAATCAATGCATCAATAAAACGAGTGAATCTAATTTCTATTTTTCTATTTTCTTTTCTGAATATTGTAACTTGAGCCTTCTTGACATGCTGCCTGCACAATGATGCTGATATATGCCACACCAAAGCACTGTGGCCATGTGAACTCCTCAGAGATGTGACTGTGAAGACGCCTGTTTATTTAGATCTATTCCTGGAGCCTCAGAATGAGAGGGAAATAGAAAGGAAGGGATGGAAGCTTTCTGTTTATGGGGAATATTTTGGATTGAGACAGTCCAGATTTACAGACAGAAGACAAATGAAAAGAGGCTGAAATCCAATTAGATGACAAGATCTGGTCTGCCTCTGCATCTCCACCCTTCCTCTGTAGAATATTCTGTCTCTCTCCCTCTCTCTTTCAATCTCTATATCATTGAATGAAAGCTATTTGCAGTGATTTAAATCAATTAAAGAGACATAATGCAGAATCTGCCCCGGGAATGTGTGTGGGAACAACAGTGTTTGTATTTGTGTGCGAGGAAAGGAGATAAAGAAAGACAGAGAAAAGGAAACGAGTGATGAAGTGTATGGCAGAGTCTAAACCATAGTATTTTAGTATAAAATGTAAAGCACTAGTATAAAATACCATTATTTGCTGCTTCGTCCTCCTCAGCACGAGAATGGGACCGACAGGTAATAAAATGTATTTGTTTTCACTATTTTAAATAAGATGCAACCGGTTCTGAATAAGAACTCAATTCCCAACCCAATCTAATTCAGTTATTTCTTACACAATTCAACTTTTTCTTTCCCATAAACTTTGTTTTATATTTATAAATAATGCCACATTTATGCTCTCCATGTGTTAAGTATAATCTCAACATGTACTGTATGTGTGTGTGCATGTACAATATACATATGCAGTACAAGTGAATTTGTAAATCTGTGCTGGTATGTGTGCATACTCGTGGAATCCCACCTTTTCCCAGAAAGTATTTGAAGTACCATCTGGTGTGGTACTCTGGGTTCTCCAAATGGACATCAGTTCTCCTCCATGTTCCAGGCGTGTAGTCAGAGGTCTGCAGAAAAGCCCCACCAAGAATTTAACTAGGTACAGGGCTCAACAGTAAATATTTGTTTTGTACTTGCCCTGTAACATTTTCAATCCCCACCTCCCACCTCCATGTGAAAAAAAACCCCCTCCATGTTAGCCAGCTAGATATCCTAATCTTGGAGACAATTTTTTTTTTTTGCAGAATTAAACTGAGGACAGAATTGGCAGTAATAATGTAGAATATATCAAACAATTTTACTTTTTAAAAGTTTACTTTCAATACAATACAATAAAAAGGATGGCAGAAACACTCTGTTTTTATAGAGCTCTGTGGTAGGGAACACACAACATGGTTATCCCTCTGCTCACCCAATAATCAATCCCATCATGTTCCAGCACAAATTCTAATTGATATTTTCATGCATACAAATTGTAAAAAAATAAAATAAAAAATAGTGTAAACAACAGCTTTCCAATAAATGGTGCCAGTCCACCCTTAATCATTAACAACCAATCAAGAGGTCTGTTTTGGATAAAGCTATGAAGGTTGTCATAGCTACAGTCTGGTGCTTGAAATGAAAAGGACAAGTGGATGGAGGGAAGAGAGAGAGAGGGGGAGGAAATGAGAGCGAGAACATTGGGGATTGATTGAATTGCTTTGCTTAGATTGTTGTTTTTGCTGATGCATGTGTATTTCATTGAAACACCTACAGACACACTCGCAAAACACAAAAGCTGGCAGTTTTGGTTTGTTTCTCACTGCCAGAAGATGAATATTTGTTCTCACTCTCTTTTCTTCTTCTTTAAATACATTTGTATCGCCTCCGTTCCTGCAGTACTGCACTGTCTTGAACCTCAAGCCATCAGTATGCATGTCAATAAGTTCAAAACCTTATTGAATCTCTCCAAGGTTCTTCAACAATAGTAGGGCTGTTTAACCTCTATCCTGGTCGTAGTTTTCATAAAATTTTCATTTATAACGCTTGGTGGTCTATTACAATCCAGCACATACAGTGCATACAAACACACACATTTCAGACCACACAGTATTTTTAATGAGTATCTTACCTCATCTATTGAACCATTCTCCACTCTGAATCTCCCAGCTCTCTGTATGGCCCCGTCTGCATCACTGGAGATGAGCTGAGGAGAAACACAGATACATCATGAGTGTGAGACCACCTGCATCAAGTAGAAGAGCTACACATAAGGGTTCAAAAGTCTAATAAAATGCAGTTCCACACAAACATTAGGCAGCACAACGGTTTTCAACATGGATGATAATAACAATGATGCTTGAGCACAAATCATCATTTTACAATGATTTCTTAAGGATCGTGTACAACTAAAGACTGGATAGTGATGCTGAAAATTCAGCTTTGCCATCACAGGAATAAATTACTTTTCTAAAACATATAGCACTGGTGAGCATAAGACTCATTTTTCAAAAACATTTAAAAAATACATCAACTAGTCATCACTAGTTTACAGTACATCACTAGTGTAAATAACTTGTCCTAAAAAAAAAAAATTCGGTAATATCAAGTTTTTATTGTAACCTTCATTCTCTTTGCTGTTGAATCTTTCTCTTTGGTTAAGAAACAACATAAGCAGTTTAAGACTTTAGAATTGCATATAAAAAGACTCAAGAGAGACAGCGAAAAGGCGAAAATCTAATCTGCTGTGACATACACTCAACACATATACAGATGAGTTTGAATCATAAAAACCCTTCAATGTAGCATCAGACTAAAGTGTTAAGTGATGCCTGTGTCAAGTCCTTCTGCTTGCAGCATTAATCTCTCTCTCTCTCTCTCTCTCTCTCTCACACACACACTGTTTGTTTTTGTCTGTAAGAGAAGTAGTATCAGTGAAAGTCTATCTGCTCAGATATTGTGTGTATGTGGGACAATCACTTGCACCTGACATGATGTAATCTAGGCTTTGCAGTAAAATTGCAACATCCCCCCAGATGGAACAATGTTGGTTGCTAGGCAACAGAACACAGAACCTCTCCCATTTCCTTTTTCTTCAGTCACCTTGTTTTCCTCCTCACATTTCTCTCACCTTTCTTCTCCACCTGTTGGTCTGCCTCCCTCCCTCTTTCTCTTCCGTCTTCTTTGTATCTGGCATACCAAACTGCTATAAACAGAACGCAGCTGCACTGCAGCTAGAGAGACTAGCTGTAAGGGTGTGAGTTTGTTGTGTGTGTGTGTGTGTGTGTGTGTGTGTGTGTGTGGCAGATGGTCTGCCTTGGCTTGAGAATGCCAAAGGTCCAGGAAGATCATTCTAGATAGATTCTTGCTTTCACACTAATCACTTAATAAGCACTAATTTGGCATCCTAGTTGAGATAAATTAAGACCAAAATGAACAACAAAAAAAATGTATTAAAGTAGGCCTATGTCACTTGGCACTGATATCTGAACTGACATGATGCATGCTTGTGATTAGCTAATAATACTTAATATGTGTTAATATAGGGTTTACGTATATTTTTCAAGAGTTGCAATATTCCCAGCTAACATCAGAACTTTCCTAACATTCTGGCAAGGTTCTCGCAAAGTTATGAACAAAATTTGTTCTTCCAGTAATGTTAATAGAATGTTCGTTCAGAGTTACCTGATCTTTAATAATGTTCTCAAAACGATAGCACAGAAACATTATCTATACGTTGTTCATGGAATATTGGATGCTTGTCTAATGGAATGTTCCCTTAAAGTTCGGATAACCAATAAAATATGTTTTTAAAACATTTTTAAAAAACTGGACGATTTTAATGTTCAGGGAACTTTCAGAAATACGGCTGCATCTGAAAGCTTATAGGCAGCTGACGTGTTGCCTTGAGCCCTAACAGGCAATGACTTCCCTAGTGGAAAAAAAAAAACATATACAAAAATGTATTTTAAATACACTGAACAAAATTATAAACGCAACACTTTTGTTTTTGCCCCCATTTTACATAAGCTGAACTTAAAGATCTAAGAATTGTTCTATATACACAAAAGGCCTATTTCTTTTAAATATTGTTCACAAATGTGTCTAAGGCCCCGTTTACACAAAGCCGGGTATTTAGAAAAACAAATATTTCCCCCCTCTCCGTTTTCAAAAATAACATCGTGCACACACCTGCATAAATACGCCATCGAGCGCCATCATAACTATGCCAAATCTATTGGCGGCAATGTAGGGGTTAAGGATAAAGCCATGCAAGCCAATCAGAATCCTCAGAATCGACAAGAGAGAACCTAAAATGCTGTTTCTCCCAGTTCACATGGCAACACATAACCGGCGTTTTCAGAAATCTCCACTTTGCCCGGAGTTTTTAGAAATAACCGTTTTCAGTGATAAAAACGCGTTTTCGTGTAAATGAGAGGGCAAAACGCAGAGAAATATCTGTGTTTTCCCATCGTGTAAACACGGCCTAAATCTGTTGATTGTGGCTTGTGGAATGATATCCACTCCTCTTCAATGGCTCTGCAAAGTTGCTGGATATTGGCAGGACCTGGAAACACGCTGTCATATACACCGATCCAGAGCATCCCAAACTCAATGATGGGTGACATGTCCTGTGAGTATGTTGGCCATGCAAGAACTGGGATGTTGTCAGAGAACACCTCTCCAAAGTGCCAGACACCATCTAACGTGAGCAACTGCAGTCAGGTCGAGACCCCGATGAGGACGACGAGCATGCAGATGAGCTTCCCTGAGATGGTTTCTGACAGTTTGTGCAGAAATTCTTTGATTATGCAAACCGACTGTTGGAGCAGCTGTCCGGGTGGCTGGTCTCAGATGATCTTGGAGGTGAAGATGTGGATGTTGAGGTCCTGGGCTGGTGTGGTTACACATGGTCTGCGATTGTGAGGCCGGTTGGACGTACTGCCAAATTCTCTGAAACGCCTTTGGAGACGGGTTATGGTAGAGAAATGAACATTCAATTCACGGGCAACAGCTCTGGTGGACATTCCTGCAGTCAGCATGCCGCCAAGAGTGGCCTTTTATTGTGGCCAGCCTAAGGCACACCTGTGAGGTGGATGGTTATCTCGGCAAAGGAGAAGTGCTCAATTAAACATATTTAGACAGATTTGTGAACAATATTTGAGAGAAATAGGCTTTTTGTAGGAATTTTGAAATAGGAATTTTGTTCAGTGTACATTTATTTCATACTAAGTATACCAAAAATCCATTAACATGTTTACTGACATATCGTTTAAGACTTACTACTATAAATATTAAAATTCAACTTTATGTGGAGTACTTCTTTATTGCCAGATGCACATTTCTTACTATTAAGACGTGATTTAAAAGTAATTAGTAAGGATAGTATGATTAGTATTTTTCTTCAAGATATTTAAAGTGTATCTAAAGTATACTTGCAATAATTCCACTTTAGCACAATCATATATAGTTTATTTGCCAGACTCATGTCCTAAAAAAAAAACACACACAAGACAAGATAAATAACAATGCACTCTAGTTTGGATGTGTAACTGGAGCAGCTCACTAAGGGGTTTGAGAGTGCCACCATGATACTGGTGGTAGACTCATCCAGACCTTGCATAAACTTAAACATCAAATTTCTTAAAAGTACTTTCAATGTGATTACTCCTACAGATACAAACATCTGACAAGCACTCCCTCCTCTGGGAACCTTGGGTAAAATTCTCATTGCATGATTGTAGGCAACTTTTAACTTCTGCATGCTGGATTTTTTGTAAGAAGACCACAGATGGGCAGTATAAAGTGGTCTAAAGTAAGCTTTGAACAGAGCCTGAGTAAAGCAGTAACTAAACTTACATGCTATGATGTTTGCCTGTGCATATAACTTATGACACTGTCTGTATATGTCATCATCATCATTCATATCATCTGTAATAAAATGACCAAGGTATTTAATCTTTTTTTCAGACCTCAAGAAAATTACTTAGCCATTTATCCTGTTTCGTTCTGCATATTAAAACAGCACTTTTGCTGGATTTGTATTTTATATAAAATTACACCCCATAGTCAGAGCATTTGTTAAGAAGCTCCTGCATGCCCAGCACTACTCAGACTAAATATAACAATGTCATCTGCATACATGATATGATTCGCATGCATGCCACCAATCATACAGCCAGTTTTGCAACCATGAAGTCTCCTTGACAGTTCATCCATATATAAATTAAATAAAACTGGGGACAAGATTCATCCCTGCCTAACACCATTGGACAATCTGAAGGGGGCAGATATACTACCCCCACCCCCCCAGATATGCATCTGCTGCATACCAATAGGCAAGAACCCTCACAATATACCCAGGCATTCCCCTTTGCTTTAGCTTAATAAAAAGCTGTTTGTGATCCACTCAATCAAATGCTTTGGAGGCATCAATAAAACACATGAAAATAGTGGAATTTTTAGCCTTATACAAATTCACTATTTCCTCAGGGTTAGTTTGGTATTTTACACTTAAATCCCTGTTTTAAGATCGTTTCTGATGAATTAGAACGGTTAAGATTGAAATTTGGACAATTTTTTTGCTGTCCCGAGAATCCCGGGACAAGCAGAACAGATCACATTGAATCTGGTAGTATGCCATGGATAAAAAAAAAAAAAATAAAAAAAAATAACAGTAAAGTTGATTGCTAGGAGAGAAGCAAGCCTAAGACTGTATACTTACTTAACTATATCTTTATTTGGATAAAGTCTGCTAAATTGGAACAACTCATTTTGTATTTAATGTAATTTAGTTATCCAGAAAACTTTAAGTATATCAGTTTGGTTGAATTGCCAAAAGTACAATTCCAGGGTATTTATATTAAGTACATAAATATGTAAATGTATTTGTGGATACCCTCATGATACCCTCATGTCACGACTTGATACATATCACAATACTGAACGATACAATATTGTTACGATCCACCAAAACATATGGTAAAAGGTTAACAGAAAATTTACTCTTGATTAAAATGCTAAATTTGGTACATTGGGCGTGGACATGAATAGGCTTGGACATAGTGCAGGTAACCCAATGCACAGGACAATGGTGTCACCAGAATAAAAGTATTCATGATTCTGAAGCTGAAAATACAGAATTATTTTAGACGAATATGCTTGCACTCTGTCACTGACTAGATAATGTAGGCCAGTTTTTACTGA